GTTGTCTATGCATTGCTGTTTTTGTCTGTGAGTTCTGCAGTGTTTTCATGTAGCTTAGTGAGCTAGGGTAGTGCACCCACTGCAACAAGGGTGTGGCAGACATGTTCTAAGGTCTGAGGAGGGAATTCTCCATACCTTCATACCTATCTACCTGTCTCGTCTTGCTGCTAGGTCTACTGGCTGCTGTTGAAGAAAGCCTAGAACCAATTGCTCCTCTACATGCATACATTAGTTTAGACTAGAGTAGACACACCACTCATCTTGCACAAGACATTTAGCAACTTGACGGAAAATGTTGAAAAACCTGTTTGCTTTGCTTTGAACCCAATTGGATGAGAATGAATGGCAGAAGGGATTGGTGTTTGCAAGGCTATTCTCCACTTGTTTTGTTTTTCGGTTGATAAGATAAGATCATGACTTTATTATCACTCATGGGGACATTTAGGACAGTTCTAGACAAGATACATTTTAGTCCTTTAGCAGACGCTCTTATCCAGAGCGACTTACAGTTAGTGAGTGCATACATTTTCATACTGGCCCCCCGTGGGAAACGAACCCACAACCCTGGCATTGCAAGTGCCATGCTCTACCAACTGAGCTACAGGGGACTATAAATACAATCAAAAAGGAAAAAGAAAGTTCATGTGCGATGGTGTGGACTAAGTTTCCCCTCAGTGTTTCTTTATCAGTATCATAGGGCTGTATGGTTCATGGTGTATTTAGCTGTGCCTCTAGTCTGTACCAGTATCACAGGATGTCTCCATACTTAGGCTCCCAACTGGTTTGTGTTAACCACTGGTTTGTGATTTGGAGTGCATGGCCCTCTGTCTCTGGTTATGTACAGTAGTGTTCGTTAGCTGTGCCTCTGTAGTCTGTAGTCAGTAGCCGTAGTATCACAGAGCACATCGTGTCTCCATGCTGAGACAGGTTCTCATTGAAGCTAACTTCCTGGTTCCTGATGTAGCCTCAGGCACATGTCACGCACGGCAGCAGGCCTTGTACTCTACTGCCCTTCTGTACGGCTTGCACTGCAGCATGTAGGCTATATACCAACACACTGTGTGTGAAACCTTATTGTGTGCTGGAGTCTGGTGTCCTTCAGCAAGGATGTAACCTGGGTTCACTTCGCTGAATTGTCAGTCAGGAACCCAGGCTAGCAGAGATGTAGCCTGCAACAGTCAGAGAATACCCTACACTAAAGACCTCTGGAACTAAAGTGTGTCTTACCCACAGACTGTATCAGATCAGGGCTGATTGACTACTCAGAGACATGGGTGACAGTAGGAACTGAACTGAACTGAACTAGCTCACAAAGACTGTGTTGTCTGCTTCCTGAAAAGGGAAAGGCTGTGGTTCCATGAAGAGGGAGCCTTCTGGAAACGGCTATAGCCCTTATCTATTAAATGTGACACCAAGACATGCTGAATTATGTTCCATTCACTCACACACACTGGGATGGTAGCCTGCTGCCACTATGATGTTGGTCTATTCAAGGACTTTTCCACATTTCACTGAGCTATTGCTGAAAAGGGGAAATCTAAAGTGTCATCCCAGGCAGGCGTGGTCCTTGTTGTTGACCCATTCCATAGTTGGTGATGTCACTGCTCCACTGGGGACTTTGCCCAGACCCATCCTTTTGCTATCTATCAGTAAAAACAAAAAACTGCTGTATTATCATACAGATAAATCTAAATGTAAACATAGAGATAAATCAAATTTGATATCTGTGTTTATTGACTTCAAAACATCAGTTGATTGATGGGTTTCTTCTTGTTGTAGTTCTAAACGGCAAAAGTCTGGTGATTGATGTTTCATCATCATGAGATGTATTATCACTAACTTAAGAGCAGTTGTTTAGATCTACTGCTCTGACAGCCTCTCCCCCTCATCTATTTCTTTCTACATGTATGTAGAAATTGTGTGCAAGCGCATTGAGGCAGGACTTGATAGAGGGCCACAGCATGTGGTTTACACCTCAAACATTTCTGCACCATGTGGAACTGAACAGCCTTAGCCCATGTGTCATGGTAGTTCAGAGATCTTAAGACTGGGAGGATCCCTTCAAATATTTGGATTCTTCTGCTGCACCAAAGATATGGCGCACATGTTTGTTTTACTATCCGTGTGGGGACCAAACAATTGATTCCCATTCAAAATTCCCATTCAATTTTCTCTAACTCTAAACCTAACCTTAACCCCTAACCCTAACTCCTAAACCTAACCCTTAACCCAACCCTAAACCTAACCTCTAAGCCTAAAATAGCATTTTCCTTGTGGGGACCGCCGAAATGTCCCCACTTTTTCCTTGTTTTACTATCCTTGTGAGGACTTCTGGTTCCCTCGAGAATAGTAAAACCAAAAACACACACACATACTAACTGCCTTGACCTGACTTATGTCATTCTGTTAAAAATGTGACTGTCTGTAATGTAGTAACAATGGAGGAAGCATGTGTGTTTTCAAAGGGAAGTGTGTTAGGCCTTACTTTGTCTCTCTTAATATCAGTTGCTGCAGCCTAGCTGTAATACTAATGCTGAGCAGTCACTGTCTGTGCTCTGTCTTACTCTTTCTCTCTGTCTCTCTCGCTCTCTGTTTCTCTCTCTGTTTCTCTCTCGCTCTCGCTCTCGCTCTCGCTCTCTTTCTCAGCGACCCCCACCCTAGTGTAGGATTAATCACAGTCTGGGCTCTCTGTCAGGCAGGAAGTTCACCATCCACAGTCCATTTAGCTCTTTAATGGGTTTTCTCTGACATGTCCGCGGGAGGAAGTGACCTCATGTTGTGGCACAAGATGCTAGTTACTCAGCCATGTTCATTTGTGAGCACAATGTAAAACGTTTTAAAAACGTTTCACAATGGGAAATGAAAATGAGTGTTTCTTATTGGACCAGGACCCTGTTTGAGTGTTTTCTTTTGTTTGGTTCCCTAATGAACACAGCCCAGAACTCATCTATGGGAACTGACCCTGGCTGAAAGGAAGTGGTTTGTCCTGTGATGATGACATCACCCATGGGCCATGCATTCACCACTCATGTCATGTGGCTCTGCTGCTTTTCATTTGTTAGGCCTCGTGGAAATACTTACTGTATGTCAATACAACCATAGGTCACTGACTGCATCAAATATAATGAAAGAAGTTGTAACTGACTGACCGCAGTAAATAGAAAATAAATACTTTTTACTGTAAATGCTTCCCTCCCTATGGTCAATGTCTTCTCATCTAGAAGAGAAAATAAAGATTGAGGAGAATCCTGTAATGATCCTACCACTAGTATTCTCAGTGTTTAGGATAACTATATTAAGCCCTAGTAGGTCAACTAAGTCAACTTTAGACTTTTTCAAATATACTCCATATACTGTGTACAAAACATTAAGAACACCTTCATCGCCAGGAATGTGTTGGAACTCATCTATGGACAGACACTGGCCTGGTTGGGGGTGTTGTTCACTCCTCTGCTTCCTGCTTCTACATGAAGAAGACTAGTGTAATGATAAACTGCCAGTCCCCTAGGAAGCCCTATAGAGCCAGTCAGATGACCATCTTCATCACACTCCTCTGCTTCCCTTCATTCCTGGGGGCTGCCGTGTGTGTTACCTACACTATGTGGAGTATCCGTCCGTCTGAGTCATGCGGTCCGTTCCGTAGCCTGTCCACTATGTTCCAGTCAGGGAAGCTATGGGGGAAGGAGTTGGAGAGACATAACCTGGCCTGGCTAGCCTGGGCTCACAGCTACATCGTGGAGAACCCTCTGTTTCTGTTCCTGGCTGCTGGGATCTTCCTGATAGTGATTTACTTCAACACCCAGGTGGTGGATGGACAGAGGAAGATCATCAGTCTGCTGCAGGAGCAGATAGAAAACATAATGTCTCAACTAATGTGACTTAACCCTTTATAACAGTGTTAAACAGATAGAAAACATACACCTCCTTTTATTGCAATACTAATGTCATAACACTGTAATAAATATTTACCTTTAGAAAACATCTGAAACCCTACCTCTTCAAAGAGTATCTTAAATAATCCCAAATAGAGACTTTGCTGATAGCTACTTTATTGAGAAATGTTTTTACTTACTATGACTAATGTGGTTGTCTCACCTAGCTATATTAAGATGTATGCACTGACTGTAAGCCGCTCTGGATAAGAGCGTCTGCTAAATTACTAAAATAATAATATTGAGTTGCCCTCCGAGCAGCTTCAATTCGTCGGGGCATGGACTCTACAAGGTGTCGAAAGCGTTCCACAGGGGTGCTGGCCCATGTTGACGCCAATGCTTCCCACAGTTGTCTCAAGGCTTAAAAATCCTTCTTGAACCTTTCTCCTCCCTTTCATCTACACTGATTTTGAAGTGGATTTAACAAGTGACATCAGTAAGGGATCATAGCTTTCACCTGGTCAGTCTATGTCATGGAAAGTTCATAATGTGTTGTACACTCAGTGTATATTTGGTGTATCTGAAGTTTCATCTCCTAGAATGTGGGCTGGGAGAGTGAAATGTTGCTGAAAACGAGTATTATTGATTTGACCAGGCAATGAGCAGCCCACCCTGTTGCTGTTGTGACATCGTAATGGAAACTTGCTTCACCACAGTTGTGAAAGTGAGATGGGAAAAAAAAAACTTACTTCTGCTTTCTGGCACTGGCGGTAACCGAGTGTTATTTATATTCTCTCTCTCTTTGGACCTTGTCAAACCCATTCTTGTAATGATTCAATACTTTTACTCCATCTAAAAATATATCTGACCACCTACATGAAACATCATGGTCGAAGTAAATCTGTACTTCCCATTTCTACTTTCCCATTTCCATATTTGACATTGTGGATTGGTCTACTGAATATCCCAATTGATTGTTGTGTTTTAGGTGATGACTGTCTACTTAGGTTGTCCACTGTATTGCCTGTAACGGTCTCTTCTCTCTCTCCGCAGGTATTTGTGTATGTGATGGTAGCGTCTGGTGTGTGAGGCCTGTAAGAGGAGACCCACTGCCTCCTCCCCTTCAGGATGTCTGAACCCCAGGTGAGACCAGGAGATGATAAACAGATATGGCTACTTCATGTCGAATATAGAGATACACTATACCACCTACGATCATTGAACTGGTTTATTGCAGGGTTGGGGTCAATTCAATTGTAATTCCTCATTGCTTTTCACCCCGATAACCACTCCTGTCCCTCAGACACCAACATGGCCTCAGGGCACAGAGTGTGTGGCCAAATACAACTTTAAGGGCACCACAGAGCAGGACCTGCCCTTCAACAAAGGAGATGTCTTAACCATTATCGTGGTGACTAAGGTAAAGTTCCTAACTCTCTGTTAGGAGGCAGGTAGTCTTTTCCTATAGCCTCCATGTCTCTGGCAAGGGAGACTAGAAAACAGGCCAAACGGTCCAATGATTTACAGTTTGAGTAAAGATATAAGTAGACTCAATCTTTCTGTCATATTTCTTGAAATTTCTACACTTACATATAAAAAGAACATAGTTTTAAAAAATAGTTACGTTTTAAAGGAGGAACTTTTGGGTTGTTGTTTCAGTAATGTTCTCTATCGCTGTACAGTATTTACTCAGTCAATCCTGATCTGATACAGAGTTATGGTGACATTTTCTTTTCCAGGACCCTAACTGGTACAAAGCCAAGAACACAGCAGGTCGAGAAGGCACCATCCCAGCTAACTATGTCCAGAAGAGGGAAGGGGTGAAGCAAGGGGGCAAGCTGAGTCTAATGCCGTAAGAACAGTACAGTCATCATAGCCAGGTTAAACCAGACTGAATCCTTCAAAACATTGTTGGAAGTACACTCATCACTCCATGTTGTACTGAAATGACTTCCCATAAATGCACTGCCTGTGTGGTGTTGTTACATTACTTACCGGTAGTGTAGTAACACAACAAAGATATGGGAGTCAGGAGTACCTTTTTTAGGTTCAACAGTCAGTAAGTTACTAGGGTATCGTTCAGCGCTCGCCAACCTTGTTCCTGGAGAGCTATCCTCCTGTAGGTTTTTGCTCCAACCCCAGTAACTAACCTGATTCAGCTTATCAACCCGCTAATTATTAGAATCAGGTGCGCTAGATTAGGGTTGGAGTGAAAACCTACAGGACAGTAGCTCTCCAGGAACAGGGTTGGAGAGCCCTAGTTCAAGTTTATTATGCCATTTCTAGGTATTGGAATACATACATAGGAATGTGTTTTTGTAAGAGCTCTCAACAATTAAAGCATAGAAATGTGAAGTACCTGTATGATATAAAAGTGAAAGCACTCTATGAAACAAATAAGAGAGGGCTCAGGTTTAGATGACACCATGAGTTACAGTTTACAGTTCAGACTATAGTGACTGTGATACTAAATCTGGTTGAAAGGGTTTGTTTTTCAGGATGTTTCTGTGTGGTTGTAGAGTACAGATAGGCTGTGAAGCCACTGTTATGTGAATAGAAACCACAGTTGGGCCGAGCTAGGGCTGGGCTGGGCTGAGTCCTGGCTCTGTCTGACTGCAGCCCTGTAATTGTAGCTAGTGCACTTCTGTGTCTGTTTCCAGCTCTCGTGTGTGTGTGCACTGCCGTTTCTAGGTATAAGCAACAAAAGCGGCTGCTTAAGGCCCCACGGTGGGTGGGGGGGGGGAGGGGGAGTCAGTTGGGTTCTCAACTTAATGTTAGTTAGGAAAGTAGAATACACAAGGTGCAATTTCAAAATGTCATAGTGCCTCAGCAGTTTTCTTATTATTATGTCAGTCACTGACAATCACTCAATTAGCCCATGTCAGCTAACATTTTATACATTTCTAGGTGAGTTAGTCTAACCACCTATCTAAACCTTAAGCAGTAATCATGGCCAAATGACTGACCTGGCACACAAGGTACGTCATATGAACATGGCATAAGTCATGGGTAAAATGTGTAGAACTGCAGGAAATTGGCTTTAAATCTTGCTTAGGGCCCCCAAAAAGCAAGAAATGGCTGTGTGTGTGTTCAGCTCTGCACTGCTGTGTGTGCACTGCACGGTTTCCTGTTGAATCTAGAAATATCCCGCATTCAGCCACATGCCTAAGTTCTAAGAAAAGTGTGTGTTTGTGTGTCTGCACATAGGCTTGCGTATCTCTTTTTCACTAATTGGTCTTTTGACCAATTAGATCAGCTGTTTTGCCAAGACTCTTTTTAGACGCATTATCTTTTTAGATGTATTATTAGTGTTAGTGATTGTGGTGTGTGTTGCTGTAAAAGCACTTTGTGACAACAACTGTTGACGTAAAAACATCTTTATAAACAAATGTGATGTGATTGATTTAATTAACCCCCCTCGACCCCCTCCAGATGGTTCCATGGTAAGATAACTAGGGAGCAGGCTGAGAGTCTCCTGATCCCCCCAGAGATGGGCCTGTACCTGGTGAGGGAGAGCACCAACTACCCTGGGGACTATACTCTGTGTGTGAGTTGCGACGGCAAGGTGGAGCATTACCGCATTGTCTACAAGGAGGGACAGCTCAGCATCGACGAGGAGGCGTTCTTCGAGAACCTCATGCAGCTTGTAGAGGTGTGGGGAAGAAATCAAATGAAATAGTTATCTTCGGGCCAGTTTCCCAGACACAGATTAAGTCTATTGCTGGACTTAATTATCTATTGAGCATGCTTTTTAGTCAAGGAGTTAATTAATCTGGGTCTGGGATCTGTCCCTTCTTGGTCAAATAAAGCGGTCTATTATTTTACAACCAGAGTGTGTGAGCCATACAAATGGTGTGACCAAGTTGATTTCCCTGTTAGCTACTGTAGGTGCTCTGGCCTCTGCAACTGTTCCCTCATCACAGCCACACACACAGTTCCTGGAACAAATACACTGAACAGGAAGTGACAAAGAGGAAGTGATAGCGGCAGGCTCCAGATCATTTCACCTTTAGACACCCAACCGCCGGGTTTCACTTTCAAAACCACCCTCTCTCTTCCTTCATCCATCTGGCGACACACTATACATTAACTCAGTTTTGGAGTAATTTTGTTGGTCTCAAAAAAGCATGTCAGTTATTATTTGAAAGCTCATTAGGTGCTGTTGACATGCATTTTTGAAAACATGTTTTTAACCATGCTGCCCTCTGTTGGTTACGGCTAGTATGAATGAGTCCAATACAAATAGAATGTATCAATTGAACCTTTGCAACGAAGACCAATACATTCAGTTCAATTTTGTTCCATTTTCATGTATTCCGTTATCCCACATTTTTATGATGTCATCAATATTGGCAATCTTTTCCCATTCTTGGCCTATGTTATTGGCCAACGTCTTCTCTCCCTGTCCTCAGCACTATACCAAAGATGCAGACGGTCTCTGCACCAAACTGATCAAGCCGAAGCTGGAGGAGGGTACTGTGGCAGCCCAGGATGAGTTCTCCAGGAGCGGCTGGGCTCTCAACAGGAAGGAACTCAATATCCACCAGTCTATAGGGAAAGGAGAGTTTGGAGGCAAGTGGCTTTGTGAAAACGTGTGTCTGTAGCGGTGTTTAAATAGGTTTTTATCATTGACAACTCTGTTATAACCTGTTCTAGGCAGTCTTCTCCAGCTTAATCCACCTCATTCCGGTTCTCTTGGAGTGTGTGAATGTGGTTTAGTTAATTCTCTCATTCTCACTCACATTTCTCTTTTCCTCAGATGTGAAGGTAGGAGACTACAGAGGGACCAAAGTAGCGGTGAAGTGTATCAAACACGATGCTACAGCACAGGCCTTCATCGCTGAAGCTTCAGTCATGACGTAAGTTAGAGCCTGAACCAAACTTCTGTTACATGTTCACTTTCAGTCAGTCAACTTCAGTACAACATACTAGGGGTAATCGCACTCTCGCGACTTCAATTGAAGAAGGAAAATCACACCTGACAAGGCCAATGAAATCCGTGCCTCTTGGAAGCCCTGCCTTCCACAGGTAATAAGCGTGAGGCTCGGATTCATTCAATTATTCCGCTTTTCACCTCGATGTAAGCAGGAACGATTCATGCTACTAAAACGAACAATTGGAACGAGACTGTCTTACGTTGCGCCAACTAAATTGCCCCTTCGTGGTAGAGCGTGCTCACCCCCTGGACATTGTGTGCTGAAGTTTGTATGGTTCTCATAGTTTCCTAATCACGAAAAATGTGTTATTCTTCGGATTGCTTTGCCTGGCTATAGCAATAAGTTAGATGGCTAACGAAACGATGAAGGCTAACAAGCCGGATTCGGGTTCGCGACAATGCCCAAATGAGTAAAAAGATACTTACTTTTGTTGTCTTGTATGTCTCTGCTCGGTGCATACTCTGGCTGCCCTCACTTGAATCAGTTTGTGTGTGGGACTATGGGATGGCTGGCACGGTTCACCTACAAGTCCGCGGCACAGGTTCTCTTGACAATCGTGTAGTATTCTTTAGGGGGCTTGGTGTTTCCGATAGTGACTTCCTCTGCCTGGTGCCCGTACCTCGGCTGAGTCTGAGTTGCGGGACGTGGTAATGGATTGAGTCGTTGGTCGGGTCAAATGTCTCCCAGCTCCTGTGCGCTCTGTCGCCGGTTATGGGAGGCTATTCGAAGAGAGAGGGCGGACAGGGTCTGTGGCTATCCCCCCCCGCCGCCTGTGTCTGCCTTGGTTAAGCACCGTTTGCCTCTCTTCCCAGATTTATTGCTGAAGGATCCGGTCCTACGTAGACTTTCGAGACCAGGCTAGCTAACAAGCGATGCATAGCGTGCTAGCCAGGTTAACTAACTCGCAGAGTTAACGGTGGAATTGCTTGGGTAGCTCTCTTGTTTAGTATACGTAGCGTTAAGTCGCTTGGTTATTCTAAACGGACCGTGCTGCGGTCAAAGAGGCTAGCTAGCCTAAAAGCCTCATCATAGCTAACGTCAGCTAGCATGCATAACTTCCGGTGAATTAAGCTTACTAGTGTTCCCCCAGCGTTATGGCAACCCCTTTCCTATTTTAAATTCCTGGAGTTGGAGGGAGTGGAGAAAGCAGGTTTGGCAAGCAAAGCCAGAGATTTGGTTCCTATGGGCCTGGCCCCTGAGAGGGCCAATCTGATGGCTAGATGGTTACCTCCGAACATTATTGCTACTATTCAGTCAACTAGGGCGCCCTCCACAAGGGGTCTGTATGCGTATAAGTGGCAAGCGTTTGAGCTCTGGTGCCAAGATAAAGGGCTGGTTCCTTTTCAGTGCTATGTGAGGGACATCCTTATGTTCCTACAGGAGCTTTTCGAGCAGGGGTGGGCATTCTCCACTTTAAAAGTGTTCATAGGCGCTATTTCAGGGTGTTGTGGGAATTGACGGCACCACACCGGGGGCCCAGCCTATGGTCGTGCTGTTCCTGAAAGGTGTGCGCCATCTTAGACCGGTCTCTAAACCTATTGCGCCCACATGGGACTTGGCTTTGGTTTTGGAGGCGCGGTGTGCGGCTCCTTTTGAGCCTCTGGAGTCGGTGGATCTGAAGATCCTCTCCTACAAGACCTCCCTGCTCATGGCTTTGACCTCGGCTAAACATGTTGGGGACCTCCAAGCGTTATCTGTACACCCTTTCGGTACTCAGTTCGTCCCGTCTAAATGCAGCTTTCTCCCCCCGAAAGTGGTTATGTCCTACAGGTCTTTAGCTTTTGCGCTATTTCTCTTTTTTCACTTCCTAATTTTGCTTCTGAAGAGCAACGGAGGTTACATGCCCTGTGTCCAGTACGAACTTACGCACGTACATTGAATGGACCCGGGATACCAGGTTATGTGACCAGCTTTTTGCCTGTTTTGCTAATCCAGCTCGCGGTGGGGCGCTCTCGATATAGATCTGTCTGTCTATATTCATCTATATCCATCTATCTATCTAAGCAGCGTCTCTCCCACTGAAGTACTGGACACTCCTACAGCTCCCGCAAGGCAGGGAGCCCACGAGCCTTGTCATCGATGTCTATTTTTTTCAATTTAATACATCATTTTTGGCAGTAACCCTCCAAAAGGTCATTCATAAACCTTTTCAGTTTCCATATGTATTAGGAAGCTAAGTGTTTGTTTTTTGGGCTTCAGGAATGTGACTGAAAAAGTGCCTCAGGCCTTGAAAATAAAACATTTTACTGATTGAAAGTAAAAGGGGATATCGGTGAACAGATGCCGTGGTCAAGGCTACAACGGCTTACTTAGCTTACTCAGGTGTTCAAAAGCGCATATCAGACTGAGAGCCTAATGCCTTTTAGGTAGTTCTTTATGAGTTTTAGTTTAGAAAAAGATCTCTACGCAGAAGCGACAGTTACAGGGATGGTAAAAACAGCTTGATTGCCATAGCAAAATCAGAGAAAGTGGTGCGCAAAATACAGCAGTTCTGCAACATCTTTAATTGAGCCTCTCATTCTCCTTAATTGCTGGCCTCAACACATTACGGAAAGAGATTAACTTTATAGGAAGCTCTGGAGACAGGTCATCAGGATACTGGACAGCCAATCGATTGGCAGATGCAAACATATTATCATATTTAGCGGACAACAGTTCTTGAGGGCTTGAACAAAAAAAACTGTTTGCGATTTGTGAACCGGCATTTGAGTTGTGTGGTTGCAATATCAACAGTCCCTTATCTCTGGTATATCTTGGCATGCATCATTCAAGACTAAGTTTAAATTGTGTGCAGCACAATGGACATATCATGCACAATGTCTCAGGAAAGACTGTCTGTATATAAAACAGTCGGGCCCGCATCCTTTGCACACACAAAAGGAGGACTACAGGGGAGTCTCAAGTTGGATTTAATTTAGTATCCGTTGGGGTCGGCTTAGGGCGGGATTCCATTTCCCCATAGTATGTTATACCGAAGTTGACTGACTGAAAGGGAACGTAACGTTATGACTATAACTACTGTTCCCTAAAGGAGGGAAACGAGGTACAACACGGTGAAGAGCGGTATTAAAGGAATGAATCCGAGCCTAACGCTTATCACCTGTGGAAGGCGGGGCTTCCAGCCAGGTGTGGTTTTTATTGACCTTGTCAGGCATGATTCAATCAAAGTCGCGAGAGTGTGACTACCCATAGTATGTTGTACCTCGATTCCCTCCTTCAGGGAACAGTAGTTATAGATAACATTACGTTATCAATCTCTCTAGCAATCGCTTTCCGTCCTCATTGTGTAATTGTTTTCCTTGTTTACTACAGGCAACTGAGACACAATAACCTGGTCCAGTTGCTAGGTGTCATCGTTGAGGAGAAGGGAAGCCTGTTTATCGTCACTGAGTACATGGCCAAGGTAGGTGGCTCCTATGATTAAGTTAAATAAAGGTAATGCAATAATAGATAGATAGATAGATAGATAGATAGATAAAGAACCAGAGATCATTGAAGACCTCTCTCTATTTTGCCCCCTCAGGGCAGTCTAGTGGACTACCTACGCTCCAGAGGTCGGACAGTGCTGGGTGGGGATTCCCTACTCAAGTTCTCAGTGTGAGCATGATAATGATTTCTCCCTACATCTTGAATAATGTTATCAGAAGTTTGCTGACAGGGGCTTATAGCGGCCCGTTGGAAATGTAACATTGTCAATGCCTCTTTAAATGTCAACCGTTCCCCTCCCTCTCCTCCGTAGTGACGTGTGTGAGGCCATGGAGTATCTGGAGGCCAATAACTTTGTCCACAGAGACCTGGCGGCCCGTAACGTTCTGGTGTCAGACGACAACATCGCCAAGGTCAGCGACTTCGGCCTGACCAAGGAGGCCTCGTCTAATCAGGACACGGCCAAACTGCCCATCAAGTGGACCTCACCAGAGGCCCTGAGGGAAAAGGTAGGTTAGTGTAACGGAGATAAGAATGTGCCGTAAGCTCACTCCACAGCTAGCTTGAAATGTCGCCAATGGTGCTATTGGATTGGATCCTTTTCTATTGGTCAGCTGGTTCGTACGTTGTCAAGGAGGGTGGTCACGTGTGTTAGCGAGGCAGAGGACCCCAGGTTGGAGCCGTGGTAAAGACAGTTTACCCTGAGTTGTACTCAGAGAGGGATGAAGCTATACTGCTGAACTAGCACACTGACATTGGTTTCACTAGTCACTTTCCTTATTGTCTTTAGGAGCATACCCTGAATCTCAAATCAACCCTTTAGGAACTTGTTTAAATCGGAGAGGATTGGATAGGTATAAGCAATATGGTAGCAATTCCACCTAGTCTATCAGAGGGCAAGATGGCGCTACCACCATATTGCTTACACCTATCCAATCCTCTGAGATCTATAGGGAGAAGGGGTTAGGGGTCGATTTGGGATTTAAGGTATAGAAATGTTATTGTACTGCTGATTTACACCATTTCTATAATATACTGTATGTTTTACACATTAAAATAAGCTTTACGGAAAGACTGTCTTTCCTTCTGTCTGTTGATAAACAGAAATTCTCCACCAAGTCAGACGTGTGGAGCTATGGGATCTTGCTGTGGGAGATCTACTCCTTTGGACGAGTGCCTTACCCCAGAATTGTAAGTATCTTTTTGCCTTTAGAAAGTCAGTCACTCAACTTACTGTTAGTTAGGATATAATACACAATGTGCAATTTTGACATTTGGTAGTGCATCAGCAGTTTTCCTCTTGTATGTCAGTCACCGACAGTCACTCAATTAGCCCATGTCAGCTAACATTTGATAGATTGCTAGGTAAGTTAGTCTAGCCAGCTATCTAAACCTTGTAGTAATCATGGCCAAATTACTGACTTGCCCAGGGGCCCTGACCTCTAGGGGGCCGCCATTGATTTTGTTAGTCATTCTCACGCCGATATCATATGAACATGGCATAAGTCATGGCAAAATGTGTAGAACTGCAGGAAATTAGCTTTAAAACGGCAACATTTTCTCACCATCCCATGGGAAAATATGTCGAACTGCAGTAAAATTTGCATTAAAACTCTAAATTTTCCTCTCCGCCCAATGACGAAATGAGTAGAATCGCAAAAAGCTAGAAACTGCCCTGTGAATAAGATTGATTGGGCAGGTGTTACAAATTGTGACAGCTGTAGAGTATATGAATTTGCCAGTTAAAGTCAATGTAGTAAATTTGAAATGTCGACACTGCTATTATGGTCCAGTATAATACTATTTATTTCAATGTTGAGTCAACATTCTGTCAGGTTATGTTCTTTAGTGATAATGACACCATAGAAATGTAATACAAAATAGATATAAAGTAATTCATAATCAAAATGTATTACATTTCTACAAATATACTACTCCCATCTCATCTCCTTCTCGTCATCCCCCCTTCTATTGCCCCAGCCTCTAAAGGACGTGGTACCACGCGTAGAGAAGGGTTACAAGATGGATGCCCCAGACGGTTGTCCTGAGGTGGTGTATGAGGTCATGAAACAGTGCTGGACCCTGGACCCCCTGGTGCGGCCATGCTTTAGAGTCCTCAGGGAGAAACTGCAGCATATCCTAGCCAAGGAGCTCTACCTGTGATGGAATAGGAAGAGGAGGTGAAAGGGGAAGTGGACAAGGATGGCTCTCCTTTCATTGAGGGAAGAGGGGGATGGAGAGGGAGGACAACAGAGAGAAGTAGGACGGACAAGGATTGCTCTTCTTTCATGATGGGCCAAAGCCTGACATTATCAAGACCTCAGAGATCCTCCTTCCTCTCTTATAAAAAATAATAATAATTGATTCCCATCAGATTGTGTTCTTGTGTTAAAGTTCACTTGTTTTATAATTTCTCATTCTGTTGAAATGTTGTTACCACATGTTGGCATCTTTTTTACCCCCCCCCCCCCCCCCCCCCCCTCCCCTCCCCATTCTACAGTACATTAGTGGTTGTATCTGTCTGATCGACTACAGTGTGTACTCCAGTGTCCAACAAACCCACCCTGGCCTGTTGTGAGGTACTATACTTCTTTCACACTATCGTGCCGACCATAACCATACCGTGCTGGCTTCAATATTTTCTTTTCACGTGGTCCTTTCCAGCACAGTTACAGGAAATTTGACGTCTACCTAGCCAGGCCGGTGCAGTTTATCTCGGCTAGTGTGAATCAACCCCAAGTCAGGTAAAACACTTCCCATGTCCCTGTTCTCTACCCATACAGTGTAAGATAGTATTTAACTGGGGTAACAATCTGTGCCAAAATGCCTCCAGAACACAGGGCTATCCCCACAGATACTTCACGCCTCCTCTACACGCTTGCCTTTTTATTTCAATTTTTGAATGTGTCTTTTATGTTTTATACATTTGTTTATTTTCGTTACACATCCTCCTGTCTTATGGACATAAGTGTTTATCTGATATTTATCAAACTGGAAAGCAGGATAAATCCTCCACGAAAAAGTGACTGAATTCAACATTTCAGGACGACGTGCAACATGAGGGAGAGATTGAGATTGCATGGATACAGAGGGAAAAGAAGAAGTGATTCTGGAGAGAAAAAAGTTTTGTAACAGATAAACTAAGGGCAAGTGTATGGAAATCAAATGTACGTGTGAAAACAGTTCGGATATGAAAGCTGAAGGGAACCATGCATGTGGAACGAGAAGCCTTTTTTCTACTGTTAAAGTTTTACTTTTCTGCCATTATAATGATTAAATCATTCCATTTGAAAATGTTTTGACTGCGTCAGTGATTATATTTATTTTGACAACTGACTATTTTGACAAATTCAATATGGTTGTGCAACTAATATTTAAGTTTCAATGGAATGGGGGAATTGTTTCTGAACTTGATGTGGAGATATGTCGAAGACTAACAGATGAACTGTCAGTAAACTCAGTTGAACTGTTGGCAATAGTAGCTGCCCTCCAGTGGGTGGAGGACGCTCAACCTGTCAGAATTCTAGTTTGCTCAGATTCCCTGTCTGTATTGAATAGTTTATCATCTGGCAAATCTAATAGGAGTGACCTACTATTGGAGGCATTCATGTTATTATAGAGAATTGAGAGACTGGGGGTAGTAGTGAGATTCTGCTCTCCCATTCGGGAGAGGGTGGGAATGAAAAAGTAGACCAGGAAGCTAAAAGGGTTTTAAAATTAGATATACAGTTGAAGTCAGAAGTTTACATACACCTTAGCCAAATACATTTAAACTCAGTTTTTCAGAATTCCTGACATTTAATCCTAGTAAAAATTCCCTGTGTTAGGTCAGTTAGGATCACCACTTTATTTTAAGAATCTGAAATGTCAGAATAATAGTAGAGAATGAATTATTTCAGCTTTAATTTCTTTAATCACATTCCCATTGGGTCAGAAGTTTACATACACTCAATTAGTATTTGGTAGCATTGCCTTTAAATTGTTTAACTTGGGTGAAACGTTTCGGTTAGCATTCCACAAGCTTCCCACAATAAATTGGGTGAATTTTGGCCCACTCCTCCTGACAGAGCTAGTGTAACTGAGTCAGGTTTGTAGGCCTCCTTGCTCGCACAGTCTTTTTCAGTTCTGCCCACACATTTTCTATAGGATTGAGGTCAGGGCTTTGTGATGGCCACTCCAATACCTTGATTTTGTTGTCCTTAAGCCATTTAGCCACAACTTTGGAAGACCCATTTACGACCAAGCTTTAACTTCCTGACTGATATCTTGAGATGTTGCTTCAATATATCCACATAATTTTCCTTCCTCATGATGCCATCTATTTTGTGAAGTGCACCAGTCCCTCCTGCAGCAAAGCACCCCCACAGCATGATGCTGCCACCCCCGTGCTTCACGGTTGGGATGGTGTTCTTCGGCTTGCAAGTCCCCCTTTTTCCTCCAAACATAACGATGGTCATTGTGGCCAAACAATTCTATTTTTGTTTCATCAGACCAGAGGACATTTCTCCAAAAAGTATGATCTTTGTCCCCATGTGCAGTTGCAAACCGTAGTCTGGCTTTTTTATGGCGGTTTTGGAGCAGTGGCTTCTTCCTTGCTGAGCGGCCTTTCAGGTTATGTCGATATAGGACTCGTTTTACTGTGGATATAGATACTTTTGTACCTGTTTCCTCCAGCATCTTCAAGGTCCTTTGTTGTTGTTCTGGGATTGATTTGCACTTTTCGCACCAAAGTACGTTCATCTCTAGGAGACGCTTCTCCTTCCTGAGCGGTATGACGGCTACGTGGTCCCATGGTGTTTATACTTGCGTACTATTGTTTGTACAGATGAACGTGGTACCTTCAGGCGTTTGGAAATTGCTCCCAAGGATGAACCAGACTTGTGAAGGTCTACAAAAAAAATGTCTGAGGTCTTGGCTGATTTCTTCTTGATTTTCCCATGATGTCAAGCAAAGAGGCACTGAGTTTGAAGGTAGGCCTTGAAATACATCCACAGGTACACCTCCAATTGACTCAAATGATGTCAATTAGCCTATCAGAAGCTTCTAAAGCCATGACATAATTTCCTGGATTTTTCCAAGCTGTTTAAAGGCACAGTCAATTTAGTGTATGTCAACTTCTGACCCACTGGAATTGTGATACAGTGAATTATAAGTGAAATAATCTGTCTGTAAACAATTGTTGGAAAAATTACTTGTGTCATGCACAAAGTAGATGTCCTAACCGACTTGCCAAAGCTATAGTTTGTTAACAAGAAATTTGTGGAGTGGTTGAAATACAAGTTTTAATGACTCCAACCTAAGTGTATGTAAACTTCCAACTGTAATTGATATTCGTGCTCCATTGGGTAGAGGTGAGTCCAAATTTAAGATGAAAGCCTTTATAATAGATGTGTGGCAGAAGTGGTGGGACTGCGAGCCCAAGGGTGGCATTTATATGCCCTCCAAAGAAAGGTTGGTGGACCAAATTCAAGGTTCAGATTAGGAAGGAAGAGGAGGTGTTTGCTCAGTTGCGTCTAGGACATTGTACATTGAACTCGTCATTATATATGGTTGGCAAGCATGCGAATGGTTTGTGTATGTTGATGAAACAGTGAAGCATGTGTTGGTGTATTGTTGTAAGTACCAATATGTGGAAGAGAGCAAAATATTAATGTGTAGGGTTATTGAGGTTGGATGGGGTGGGTTTGGAAGGGATTGTTAAAGTTAGTAGGACTCTTTTTTTCTTATTAGTACAGGATTCGATAGGAGGGTTTAGTTTCTCTTAAATGTTTGTTTCTTTATTCGTTTAGTCTGTAAACTGTGATTGACTACACACTCCAGTACAGTAGGTGGCAGCATGCACCTCTAACGTTTGTTTGCGGACTGCCATAATATTATAGAAGAAGGAGGAGAAGGAGGGAATTGTTTCACTGTTGCAACAGTTAAATAAGCACTGAAAACAGAAGAAGGATCTGTGATGGAAAGAACGTGATGATCGCACAGGTTCATAGATCATTGAGTACATTTATTTCCGAATAAAACAATTCGAATGGAGAAGGAGGCTGATTTATTCTACCGACAGCTGCCAAAGGTGGTAAGTAGCCGTCTACAATATATAGGATTATTTATTTTTTACCTGAAGACAATTAAGTTGTTTTTTAGAAGTGTAAACGTTAGTGTTAGCTAGCTGACGTTAGCCTGTTGGAGAAGCTGAGTTTGACAGCCATTAAGGCTTATTAAAGGGGAATTTCACCCTGGGGGAATCTGGGCTTGTTTTCATAATGTCCGAGGCATTTCTAGGACAGTGAAATATGTTTCACACATAATTGCCCAGGAGGAAGGCAGGTATGGGCTTTGCGGGCTGAATGATACACCATAAGACAGCTTCTGGTGTATTGATGGGGAGGGGGCGAGATCTAAAAATAAATGTAGTCCTGCTTTGTGGCATTTCGAGAAGGCTATGTTATACTGATCGCAGTACATTTTTGTGCGTGTAGATATGGTTGTCTTTGTTTGATAGAGCCATTGGATGTCATTCAGCCTCCTATCGGTGGATTCATTGCTAAATATACAAACACATTTTTTCCAGTCTCTAAAAGACTACAACTTGTGTTGGGCGGTGCTTCGTCAAATATTTATAACTAACCCAAGATAGACCAGAGCCTGTCTTATCCAACGGTAGCAAATGAATCATAGTGGGCAGAGCCAAACACGAGCTGGTGAGATCCTATTGGTGCGTTCTATCATTTATTTGCACATTGTTCTATCTGAAGTTCACACAGGACACCAGATAAGACAGGAGATTTTCACCAGATAGGACAGACTGACCCTAGCTCCCCGGCACATAGATACTGGAGGCTGTGACGGGGGGTCGGGGGACACTGTGGCCCTGTCCGACGACACCACCGGACAGGGCCAACCAGACAGGGTATAACCCCACCCACTTTGCCAAAGCACAGCCCTCACACCACTATAGGGATATCAACAGACAACCAACTTACTACCCTGAGACAAGGCTGAGTAAAGCCCTCGTAGATCTCCTCCACCGCACGAGCCCGAAGGGGGCGCAAAACTGGACAGGAAGATCATGTCAGTGACTCAAAACACTCAAGTCGAGGATAGCGAAAAAAGCCTGGCATGATGTTACGGACCACTCCTAGGGACTGCATGGGAGAGCGCTAGTAAGCCAGTGACTCAGCCCCCGTAATAGAGTCGGAGGCAGAGAATCCCAGTGGAGAGAGGGGAGCCAGCCATGCAGAGACAGCAAGGGCGGTTCGTCACTCCACCTTCGCACCCCTGGGACCTACTGAAGAGTTTCAGTCTTCAGTTAAGGCTTAAAGGTCGAGACCAAGTCTGCGTCTCTCACATGGTAGGTAAGGCTGAACGATTTTGGAAAATAATCTAATTGCGATTTTTTTGCCCCCAATATTGCGATTGCGATTTAATATGCGATTTAATTTATTTTTCCTTTTTCCCCTACAAAACATAATGAATGATTTAAATATGACCAACACAATAGTATATACATTTAGTGTGAAATGTTCTTTCCCATAGGCTGGGTCTATTTGTTAGAATTAAATTCAAACATGTATGACTTGAAATAAATGACATTTTTATTGAACTGCTCATTACAGAAACATCTGTGGCTTTGCCACTGTGCATTTAAATAATTTAAACAAAGGCATGAACTTTGTAAACACTGTGTGCAAAAGGTACAGTCTTAAGAAAAAAATAATTTTAAATTGTATGTATCTTACTGCTCCCAAGTCAGTAACATTTCACACAATTGAAACAAGGAATTTGCTTTGAAAATATTTTGTAAAATCAAAGTAAATAAAGTTATAAATAAAAAATGAGAAATGCACTTTTAATTTAGACAAACTATTTTTTATAAACGATTTGAATATTATAATATAAAATAGATGAGCCTCACTTATCTCAAGTACACAACAATAACACACCACACAGACTAAAGTTCACTACGAGTATGGCACTGCCAGCCATACTTATCCAACAGTTCTGTTCTCAGTGGCTCACAGGTTTTTTGCTAAGAAAACCAGAATATTGACTTTTTCTGGCTTCAAGGCTGAGCGAGTGCAAGTCACAATATTCCCTCCTGTGCTAAAAAGACGCTCTGAGGGAGCGCTTGTAGCAGGTACACAAAGATACTTGCGTGCCATGGTGCACAACTGTGGGTAGCTGATCTTGTGCACCCTCCACCAAGCCAATGGATCATCTTCTCCATCAATGGTAGGAGTCATCAGGTAATTGTTTATCTCTGCCTCTGCGACATCTTCAAGATTTACAGGCAAAGAAGGAGAGGCTGAACTGGTCTTGAAAAAACTGCCAAGAGACCTCTTCGTCTTTTCCCCCAAGGACTGTGCACTTTGAGGCATCTGAACAGTTTCAGTACGAGACCTCTTCTCCTATTAGATGAAAACAACAGCCATTAGTTTTCCAGTTAGATTTTACAGAAAATTTTTGTTTTTGTGAAATACATAATTATTTACCCAATGATATGTACGTTGTGCCAAGTCTACTATCTCTGTCTTCAGACGAGTCTTGATAGCAGGGATGTTGTCTGTACTGATGTACTGTATTTTGAACCTAGGGTCCAGGAAACAGGCAACATCCAAAAGCTCCTGGATGTTTGGGTCTCCATATTTGTTATTGAGGTATGCTAGGACTTTGGTTTTTATTGATTTAGTCAGGTCAGTGTCCTCAGCATCTTCAGCCAGGACTGATGTGGCAAAAAGGTGGAGAACTGGCTTGAGGTAGGAGATGCTTACATACTCCTCTCCAGAAAGAGCATCAGTAAACTCCAGTAGAGGATGCAGTGCCTTGTGAATCGACTCCAACACGTCAATATCCTGCCAGGTTGGGATAAGGGAGCGTGCATATCGATCTCCAGACAATACCTGAGAAATGGCTTTGGCCTGTTCAAGCACTCTGGCAATCATCATTTCTTTAGAACCCCATCTTGTTGGGCACTCCGTTATGAGGTTGTGCTCAGGGAGTTTGAGCTCTCTCTGTGCCTCCGTCAGGGCTGCTTTCTTCTTCCAACTGTGGGAAAAGTGCCCCACCAGCTTCCTGCACAGTGCTGTTGCCCTTGACACTCTGTCATCTTTGAGTGCATTTTCTAAAAGAAATAAAAAGTAGTGTATTACACACAATTTGAGTTTTGATACAAGGCTCTCACTATTACACACTCAAATTAGCTGTAATTCTGAAATACACACATCCACAACACATCTCTCTCTCTCTCTCAATTCAAAGGGTCTTTATTTGCATGTCAATTCTCTCTCTCTTTCTCTCTCTCTCTCTCTCATAAACACTAAAAAAACATGTAAAAAACAAAAACAAGAAAAGAAAAAAAATGCAGGTGGGCATTCCACCACAGACAGACATATGATATAAGCAAGTAAAATGAATTTACATATTAGAAAAGGAGTGGAAGTATGAATTTATTTAATCCCATCCGATTTATATAATATCATTTATATATATTTGTATATTCAGCTTTACTAATCGACGCATCTCTCTCTCTCGCACTCGCGCACACACACACACACACACACACACAAACACACACACACACACACACACACACACACACACACACACACACACGATAACTTACCAATGGCAAGATGTAATCTGTGGCCAAAACATTGGAGCCTCGTCCATTCATTAAGCCGCGCAGCAAGCACCATATTCGACGCGTTGTCCGTCGTGATGCAGACGTGATTCTCCTCGTGGAGATCCCAGCTGACAAGCCCTTCTCTCAGGCCGGCTGCAATATTTTCCCCTGTGTGATCGTCTGGGAAGTAGGTAGTTTGTAGGCAGCGAGCTCGGAGGTTGAAATCTTCATCAATAAAATGGACTGTAAGACTCTGGTACGGCTCAGCTGTGCGGCTTGACCACATATCAGTAGTGCTAGCAAAAAACTCCACCGTTTTAAGTTCCGCGGCGACTTTCTCTTTGCACTTTTTGTACAGCTCCGGTATGGCAGTCTGACTGAAGTATGTGCGGGAGGGTATACTGTAACGTTTATCAAGCGTATGTATTAATGCCATGAACCCAGGCTTGGTCACCGTGCTGAGAGGCATCATATCTTTGGCTATGAACTCGGTTATTGTCCGAGTGATTTCTCCGTGCCGTTTTGAATTACGTTCATACGGAGTGACACTTTCGAACATTTCTGTCAGTGATCCCTGTCTTGAGGTATTTGGCTTGTCTCGCGCACTGATGCTCGGCATTTTGGTCATACAACTGTCATGCATTGATTTGTGGTATTTTTTTAAGTGCTGAAACAGGTTTGTAGTGTTACCCCGTGAAGTAGCAATCGGAGCACGGCATGCTCTGCACAACACCTGACGCTGCTCAGCATCTTCTTTTTTAAAACCAAAATAGTTCCACACCACCGACGTGCTGTTCCTCTTCGATATTAAAGTATCAGCTGTGTCAGTTTCTGACTGTTCCGTCGAGCAAGAGGCCATTGCGCTGGACAGCATGAAAAGTCGCGTCACGTGACCACCTCAAATCGCGCACGTTGCGATTAGAAAATCGCGTTCAGTCAAATCGCGATATTATCGCGAATGCAATTAATCGTTCAGCCCTAATGGTAGGCAGACCATTCCATAGAAATTGAGCTCTATAGGAGAAAGCCCTGCCTCCAGCTGTTTGCTTAGAAACTCTAGAGACGATAAGAAGGCCTGCGTCTTGTGACCATAGCGTACGTGTAGGTATGTATGGCAGGACCAAATCGGAGAGGTAGGTAGGAGCAAGTCCATGTAATGCTTTGTAGGTTAGAGGGTAAAACCTTGAAATCAGCCCTAGCCTTAACAGGAAGCCAGTGTAGAGAGGCTAGCACTGGAGTAATATGATAGAATTAGTTGGTTCTAGTCAAGATTCTAGCAGCCGTATTTAGCACTAACTGCAGTAATCTAATCTACAAGTGACGAAAGCATGGATGAGCTTTTCTGCATCAATTTTGGACAAAAAGTTTCTGATTTTTGCAATGTTACGAGGATGGAAAAAAGCTGCCCTTGAAAAATTATTGATATGTTCGTCTAAAGAGAGATCAGGGTCCAGAGTAACGCCAAGGTCCTTCAGTTTTATTTGAGACGACTGTACAACCATCAAGATTAATTGTCAGATCAAACAGCAGATCTTTGTTTCTCGGGACCTAGAACTAGCATCTTTGTTTTGTCTGAGTTTAAAAGTACAACATTTGCCGCCATCCACTTCCTTATGTCATAAACACAGGCTTCCAGGGTAGGCAATTTTGGAGCTTCACCATGTTTCATGTGTCAAGAGATACAGGATAAAAAAACTTGAGTGTCTCCATTGATCCTAGGTCCTGGCAATTCTGTGCAGACTGAGTTTTGGAGAAATACGCTGATTCAAAGAGGTGTCCGTAATTTGCTTTCTAATGATCATGATCTTTTCGTTGAATAAGTTCATGAATTCATCACCGCTGAAGTGAAGGCCATCCTCACTTGGGAATGCTGCTTTTTAGTTAGCTTTGCGACCGTATCAAAAATACATTTTGGATTATTTTTATTCTCCTCAATTAGGTTGGAAAAGTAGGCTGATCGAGCAGCAGTGAGGGCTTTTTGATATTGCACAGTACGGTCTTTCCAAGCTAGTCGGAAGACTTTCAGTTTGGTTGAGCGCCATTATCGTTCAAATTTTCTGGAAGCTTGCTTCAGGGCTCTGGTATTTACTGTATACCAGGGAGCTAATTTCTTGTGACAAATGTATTTTGTTTTTAGAGGTGCGACTGCATCTAGGGTATTGTGCAAGGTTACATTTAGATCCTTGGTTAGGTGGTTAACTGATTTTTGTACTCCGACATCCTTGGGTAGGTGGAGGGAGTCTGGAAGGGCATCTAGGAATCTTTGGGTTGTCCGAGAATTTATAGCGTGGCTTTTGATAATCCTTGGTTGGGGTCTGAGCAGATTATTTATTCAGATTGCAAACGTAATAGGATGGTGGTCCGATAGTCCAGGATTATGAGGAAAAACATTTAGATTCACAATATTTATTCCACGGGAGAACTAGATCCAGGGTATGACTGTGGCAATGTGTAGGTCCGGAGATATGTTGGACAAAACCCACTGAGTCGATGGATCCAAAAGCCTTTTGGAGTGGGTCTGTGGACTTTTCCATGTGAGTATTGAAGTCACCAAAAATGTGAATATTATCTGCCATGACTAAGAGGTCCTATAGGAATTGAGGGAACTCCATGAGGAACGCTGTATACGGCCCTGGAGGCCTGTAAACAGCTATAAAAAGTAATTGTTATAGTACTGTTTGGCCATTTTGAGACATCGTAGCTTCAAAATAGTCAGAATTAATCTACGAAAACTCAGGGAATCTGTCATTAATTTAGACGTTTTTGCCGAGGAGATCTTAGTCGTGCAAGTTTTCATCTAAGATGTTTGGTGCAGTATTTGTCAAATCAGTTTTTCTGCATGAAAACGATGTGTGTCTCGTTGACTGACAACAAACACTTAATTTAAAGAATGTCTACTCTTGACCAAACACAGAGGAAGGGGTGTAGACTTCGGCTTGCCTCAATATATATTTTTTTGTGCACGAACAACCGGAAAGAAAACCTTGCCAAACACCAAAACAAACTAAAATGTCACAAAATGTCGTCATAATATATGCACAAACTGTTCCGAACTGTTTCGGCTGGGAAGCATGCGGACGCCTTTACCGCTAGAACACACCCATGGATTTTCAGTGGTTCCGTGTTTTTTCCCCCGGAGTGGGTACGGATATGGAGTTTCTGTATCCCAATTTTCCCAGGCAAACAATATGGATGTTTCTGCGCATTTTTTAAATCTATCCGAGTACCCACTCCACTGCCTACATAGCTGCTGTGCTGAGTGCTCCGCTGCTGCTCCCTCTTCCTTGATCGCCTTTGTCCGGTCACTGGTGTAGCCTACAAACTTTTTTTTTAAACTGGTCCGGATACATGCTCGGCTGCCTAGAACGTTCGGCTGCCCAGAGGTGGAACGTAGCGAGACGGACATGCAGTCTAATTAGCGATTGAGTGTTCTTTTTTCATCATCATTGCAAACATTGGCTAAGCTACGCAGGAGGCACACAGACCGTAGCGTTATATTTTCATGGCAGCAACTATGCTGAACAAAAATATAAACACAACAAGTGTTGGTCCCATGTTTCATGAGCTGAAATAAAAGATCACCAAAATGTTCCATATACACATAGCTTATTTCTCTAAAATGTTACATCCCTGTTAGTGAGCATTTCTCCTTTGCCAAGATAATCCATCCACCTGACTGGTGTGGCATATCAAGAAGCTGATTAAACAGCATGATCGTTACACAGGTGCACCTTGTGCTGGAGACTATAAAAGGCCACTCTAAAATGTGCACTTCTGTCACAACTCAATGCCACAGATGTCTCAATTTTGAGGGAGCGTGCAGTTGGCATGCTGACTGCAGGAATGTCCACCAAAGCTGTTGCCAGGGAATTGAATGTTAATTTCTCAGCCATAAGCTGCCTCCAAAGTCGTTTTAGAGAATTTGGCAGTACGTCCAACCGGTCTCACAACCGCAGACCACGTGTATGGCATTGTTTGGGTGAGTGGTTTGCTGATGTCAGCGTTGTGAACAGACTGCCCCATGGTGGCGGTGGGGTTATGGTATGGGCAGGTATAAGCTACGTACAACAAACACAATTGCATTTTAATCGATGGCAATTTGAATGCACAAAGATACGGTGATACCCATTGTTGTGCCATTCATCCGCCGCCATCACCTCATTTCAGCATGATAATGCACCGCCCCATGTCACAAGGATCGGTACACAATTCCAGGAAGCTGAAAATGTCCCAGTTCTTCCATGGCCTGCATACTCACCAAGACATGTCACCCATTGAGCATGTTTGGGATGCTCTGGATCGACGTGTACGACAGCATGTTCCAGTTCCCGCCAATATCCAGCAACTTCGCACAGCCATTGAAGAGGAGTGGGACAACATTCCACAAGCCACAATCAACAGCCTGATCAACTCTATGCGAAGGAGATGTGTTGCGCTGCAAGAGGCAAATGGTGGTCACACCAGATACTGACTGGTTGTCTGATCCACACCCCTATCTTTTTTTTAAAGGTATCTGTGACCAACGGATGCATATCTGTATTCCCAGTCATGTGAAATCCATAGATTAGGGCCTAATGATTTTATTTCAATTGACTAATTTCCTTATATGAACTGTAACTCAGTAAAATCTAAGAAATTATTGCATGTTGCGGTTATATTTTTGTTCAGTGCATTTGGAAAGTATTCAGACCCCTTGACTTTTTCCACATTTTGTTACGTTACAGCCATATTATAAAATTGATTAAATAATGTTTTTCCTCATCAAGCTACACACAATACCCCATATGGAAAAGCGACAACAGGTTTTTTAGAAATTTTTGCAAATGTATTAAAAATAAAAACAGATACCTTTATTTACATAAGTATTCAGACCCTTTGCTATGAAACTCGAAATTGAGCTCAGGTGCATCCTCCGAGACAGGATTGTGTCGAGGCACAGATCTGGGGAAGGGTACCAAAACATTTCTGCAGCATTGAAGGTCCCCAAGAACACAGTGACCTCTATCATTCTTAAATGGAAGAAGTTTGGAACCACTGAGACTCTTCCTAGAGCTGGCCACCCGGCACAACTGAGCAATCGGGGGAGAAGGGCCTTGGTCAGGGAGGTGACCAAGAAACAGATGGTCGCTCTGACAGAGCTCCAGAATTCCTCTGTGGAGATGGGAGAACCTTCCAGAAGGACAACCATCTCTGCAGCACTCACCAATCAGGACTTTATGGTAGAGTGGACAGACGGAAGTCGTCACTCAGTAAAAGGCACATGACAGCCCGCTTGGAGTTTGCCAAAAGGCACCTAAAGATTCTCAGACCATGAGAAACAATATTCTCTTGACAGATGAAACCAAGATTGAACTCTTTGGCCTGAATGCCAAGCGTCACGTCTGGAGGACACCTGGCACCATCCCTACGGTGAAGCATGGTGGTGGCAGCATCTTGCTGTGGGGATGTTTTTCAGCGGCAGGGACTGGGAGACTAGTAGTTAGGATTGAGGCAAAGATGAACGGAGCAAAGTACAGAGAGATCCTTGATGAAAACCTGCTCCAGAGCACTCAGGACTTCAGACTAGGGTGAAGGTTCACCTTCCAACAGGACAACAACCCTAAGCACACAGCCAAGACAACAGAGGAGTGGCTTCGGGAAAAGTCTCTGAATGTCCTTGAGTGGCCCAGCCAGAGCCCGAACTTGGACCTGATAAAACATCTCTGGAGAGACCTGAAAATACCTGTGCAGCGACGATCCCCATTCAACCTGACAGAGCTTGAGAGGATCTGCAGAGAAGAATGGGAGAAACTCCCCAAATACATGTGTGCCAAGCTTGTAGCGTTATACCCAAGAAGACTCGAGGCTGTAATCGCTGCCAAAGGTGCTTCAACAAAGTACTGAGTAAAGGGTCTGAATACTTATGTAAATATGATATTTCAGTTTTTCTAAAAACCTGTTTTTGCTTTGTCATTATGGGGTAATGTGTGTAGATTGATGAGGGGAAAAACCAAATGTAATCAATTTTAAAGTAAGGCTGTAACGTAACAAAATGTGGAAAAAGTCAAGGTCTGAATACCTTCCGAATGCACTGTATAAAGCCTACATCACACAAAATGTGTCCAAAGTGTAGGGACTGCGTCCTGCTTGTGCAACTGCAATGTCCGTTACAACAGACAGACTGAGAAGGTTGTAGCCTTCATAACATATAGTGGTGTGAAAAAGTGTTTGCCCCCTTCCTGATTTCTTATTTGTTTGCATGTTTGTCACACTTAAATGTTTCAGATCATCAAACAAATTTAAATATTAGTCAAAGATAACACAAGTAAACACAATGCAGTTTTGAAATGAAGGTTGTTATTATTAAGGGAAAACAAAATCCAAATGGCCCTGTGTGAAAAAGTGATTGCCCCCTACAACCTAATAACTGGTTGGGCCACCCTTAGCAGCAACAACTGCAATCAAGCGTTTGCGATAACTTGCAATGAGTCTTCTACAGCGCTGTGGAGGAATTTATGCAGAATTGTTGTAATTCAGCCACATTGGAGGGTTTTCGAGCATGAACTGCCTTTTTAAGGTCATGCCACAGCATCTCAATAGGATTCATGCCAGGACTTTGACTAGGCCACTCCAAAGTCTTCATTTTGTTTTTCTTCAGCCATTCAGAGGTGGACTTGCTGGTGTGTTTTGGATCATTGTCCTGCTGCAGAACCCAAGTTCGCTTCAGCTTGAGGTCACGAACAGATGACCGGACATTCTCCTTCAGGATTTTTCGGTAGACAGCAGAATTCATGGTTCCATTTATCACAGCAAGTCTTCCAGGTCCTGAAGCAGCAAAACAGGCCCAGACCATCACACTACCACCACCATATTTTACTGTTGGTATGTTCTTTTTTCTGAAATGTGGTGTTACTTTTACGCCAGATGTAATGGGACACACACCTTCCAAAAAGTTCAACTTTTGTCTCGTCAGTCCACAGAGTATTTTCCCAAAGGTCTTGGGGATCATCAAGATGTTTTCTGGCAAAAATGAGACGAGTTCTTTTTGCTCAGCAGTGGTTTTCGTCTTGGAACTCTGCCATGCAGGCCATTTTTGCCCAGTCTTTCTTACGGTGGAGTCATGAACACTGACCTTCACTGAGGCAAGTGAGGCCTGCAGCTCTTTGGATGATGTTGTGGGGTCTTTTGTGACCTCTTGGATGAGTCGTCGCTGCGCTCTTGGGGTAATTTTGGTCGGCCGGCCACTCCTGGGAAGGGTCACCACTGTTCCATGTTTTCGCCATTTGTGGATAATAGCTCTCACTGTGGTTCGCTGGAGTTCCAAAGCTTTAGAAATGGCTTTCTAACCTTTTCCAGACTGATGGATCTCAATTACTTTCTTTCTCATTTGTTCCTGAATTTCTTTGGATCTCGGCATGATGTCTAGCTTTTGAGGATCTTTTGGTCTACTTCACTTTGTCAGGCAGGTCCTATTTAAGTGATTCCTTGATTGAGAACAGGTGTGGCAGTAATCAGGCCTGGGTGTGGCTAGAGGAATTGAACTCAGGTGTGATAAACCGCAGTTGAGTTGTGTTATAACAGGGGGGGCAAACACCTTTTCACACAGGGCCATGTAGGTTTGGATTTTGTTTTCCCTTAATAATAACAACCTTCATTTCAAAACTGCATTTTGTGTTTACTTGTGTTATCTTTGACAAATATTTAAATGTGTTTTGATGATCTGAAACATTTAAGTGTGACAAACACGCAAACAAATAACAAATCAGGAAGGGGGCAAACACTTTTTCACACCATTGTATATTTATTTTTTTGGAACGTTCATTCAAATCATCACAGGGTTTATTTTAGCTGTTACGAAATATGAGGCAGAGACATAGGCTACATCACCATGGTTCAGAAGAGGGTGAGTAAAGAGCGAAACTTGAAGGGAGGGGGAATGTGAGCAGCAGCTACATTAGAAAAACGAATGTGTGCGTAAATTAACAGGGGACAGGCCGTCTGGATACTGGACAGCCAATAAATTGGCAGATGCAAACAGATTATCATCTTTTAGCGCACAATAGTTCTTACATTTACATACATTTTTTTTCTTCCATACTGGCCACCCGTGGGAATCGAACCCACAACCCTGGCTTTGCAAGCTCCATGCTCTACCAACTGAGCTACACGGGGCCACAAAAAAAAAAAAAAAAAAAAAAAAACGGTTTGCGATTTCGTTTGTCGTGGAAATTCAACACCAGGGAGACCTGAAGTCAATATTAAATCAATCATTCTTTATTATCAGCAAGCTGGAGAGGTTCCAACAAACTTAATGCACCATAGTACAGGTTGGTCGGGAGCTCCGCCGGGGCAGTCCCGTTAGTTCTCTTATATACTGCTTACACAGACAAGTTATATTTGCATGATTTAGCTTATTCATTATTCATCATTAATTCATCATTAACGTTTGGTTCATGCATGTGATCGACCAATACCTCACGAGGCTTCTTCTCTCCAAGCTGAGACCTTGAAACAGAGAGACCCCTTTCGGTTCTCAAAGCAATGTTCTGGGCGTACTGCCAAATTGCTTATACTGATAGTGAGGATTCCTCCCAGGCACGATCAATCAGTCACTTGCATGAACTCCGTCAAATTGGTTATTAGAAAAGCACAAACATAAAATGTTCCTTCACATGTTCATACCGTCGTGTGGTTGCAATATCAACACTCCCTTATCTCTGGCATATCTTGGGATGCATCATTCAAGACGAAGTTTAAATTGTGTTCAGCGCAATGGACATATCATGCACAATGTCTCAGGCAAGACTGTCTGGGTTGTCAATACTTAGTATAGAAAATGGTCGGGCCTGCAACCTAGACCTACAAGACCTGCAACCTAGGCCTACAAGGCCTGCAACCTAGGCCTACAAGGCCTGCAACCTAGGCCTACAAGGCCTGCAACCTAGGCCTACAAGGCCTGCAACCTAGGCCTACAAGGCCTGCCTACAAGGCCTGCAACCTAGGCCTACAAGACCTGCAACCTAGGCCTACAAGGCCTGCAACCTAGGCCTACAAGGCCTGCAACCTAGGCCTACAAGCCGTGGTGAAAACATTTGCACAGCTACTATATTACTGTAGCTACTATAGCCCTCTACGTAGTAAAAAAGAGAGTCAAGACACTTTCTTTATTAAGAGAGAAAATGAGATGCTGCAAGGAATACTTGAGGAGAATTGTTAGGCTATTTTGATGTGTAATTTGTATAAAAAGTTTATAAATAGCAGCTTAATACTGTATATAGCTATAGATGGTAGGATACACTGCATAATGAAACGATCCCTAGTAAGGTGTAGTGTTTTGAGGGTGGACTATTATTTGGCTTTTATTTTGACTTTTACTTGGCATTAATAGACTGGTTTTACGCACAACAACTTTCTATCCAAGGAGATAGCCCGACGGCCCATGCCATGCATGTTCAGGTAGGCTATACAGAACAGTTGTGTATATAAAATAAATACATTGGTAGCTGATTAGTATGATGTTGCATTGGAAATTAAGTTTACAATCTTTATTGTTTGAATTTCCAGTGCAAATAGTCCGGGTAGCCATGATTAGCTGTTCAGGAGTCTTATGGCTTGGCTTATGGCTTCGCTAGTCAGACGTTCAGACGTTCAACAAGGTATTAGTAAGGCGTTCTGTCGCCCCTCCTGCGGTTCACTCTTCATATATTTCAGTCTAACAGGTTGGTACTCTGTAACTCCTTGTGTCATCCTCTCTTCTCTACCCAGGAGCTTCATGCCCATCTCAATGGCTCTGTCAGCTTCTCAACCATCGAGAAACTCATGGCTCGAAAGCCACATCTCAACATCGAACACGGCATGACTGCTATTCGCAGTGGTCAGCGGAGGACTCTGGATGAGTATGTATGACAGAATTGATTGATTGTTTCTTTTTCTGAGTCCATAGTGCATTGGTTGTTATCATGTACGGCACGTGTCAAACTCATTCCACGGAGGGCAGAGTGTCTGCGGGTTTTCACTCCTCCCTTGTACTTGATTGATGAATTAAGGTCACTGATTAGTAAGGAACTCCCCTCACCTGGTTGTCTAGGTCTTAATTGAAAGGAAAAAACCAGCAGACACTAGGCCCACCATGGAATGAGTTTGACACCCCTGATGTATGTGCTCATGTGATCTCTCGGTCCCATCCCCCAAGTCAGTGAGTCAGCACATGAAGGACTAGTGGATGGATAGTTCATTTATTGCCAAGCTGCAATGATGGGACACAGTATAGATGAATCTTCAGTCGTCAAAGGGATATTAACAGCACTCTTAAAGAATATATATTTTCAAGTTATAAAGAGGAAGCTTAGCTAGCATAAAACCCACATGGAAATTAGATTAATAGATTCTGTAATTAAATTTTATTTTTATTTTTTATTAGTATATTATGAATTGAAATGGTGGAGGTATGTCACATATGCAGCTATCGAAATGTCTTCTCAAGTTCCAACCAACTGATTGCAGCATTACCGCAAAAATGGAGGGGGCAAGTGGAAGAGGGAGAAGGTAGGGAACTTGTCTGCCATATATTAAAGATACAAATTGGCAGAAAATAAAAATATATACATTTCATTTGAGGACAGAAATGTTGATAGCAGTGCCATACAGGTTGCAAAATAAATGGGAAGAGATTTTCGATGTACCAATTCAATGGCACATGGTATATGAACTGATACAAAAAACACTTGATTTAACACTGAGTTTTTCAATTTTAATTATTATACAAAATTCTTGCCACTAACAGAATGCTATATAAATGGGGCATACAACAATCTCAGCTCTGTAGATTTTGCTGCGAAGAGACAGAATAACTAGATAATGTATTCTGATATATATTCCATTCCTTTACTTTAGATTTGTGTGTTGTTGTGAAATTGTTAGATATTACTGCACTGTTGGAGCTAGAAACACAAGCATTTCGCTACACCCGCAATAACATCTGCTAAACATGTGTATGTGACCAATAAAATTTGATTTGATAACCCTCCCTACCAGTATGTGTTTTGGTCTGGACTTGAGTGGGTTCACTGTGCTGCCTAATGATATGACTGCAGATGCAGGTAACTTGCCCTAAACAAGATGTTCACTCTGTGGCTGTAATGTAACCCTTTGCTTGACTGTACCAACTGTCTGGCCCAGACTCACCTCTCAACCTCTCTGAATTGGAAGAAGTGACACAAACTGAGAGTGTTCATCACTTTAATTATTGCCAGGCAAGGACATGAGTCTCCAGTAACTGTCTGTTTCTTTTAGTAGCTCTATCAGTATCATCTCATCAGCTTGACCTGGCACAACAATTGCAGGAATGAGACGTCAAGGTCATACATTGCTTTAGGGGTGACCTGATGGCCACCACAGCCATCAATGCCAGCATCATCAGCCGAATATCTTTTCATGGCAGGACTGGATTGTAACGGGCTTGCTTCGGTTGCCTCACTCAGAGTGCATGCTATTGATCCACTTTAGCGTAGGGCCATTTTCGACAGAGACGGGTGTGTAGAATGAACTGTCAGTCCTCGGAATTCTCTGTGCACCTTGAAAAATGACAGTTTTGTGGTCTGGGAGACTGTTGCTGTAAAGCCGGTATAGTGACTCACGATCTTCCATATCATCAATGGTTTCAGGAAATGCGTTTTTAAATCTGCAATAATTTACTTTGCACCCCATGACAAAATGTGTAGAATTGCAGGAAATAAGCTTTAAACCTGCAAAATGTTCTCTGCGCCAATAAGAAGGGTCTGAACAGTTTGTGTCATGAACAGTGCTAGATGTGGCGTGCGCGCGCACAGAATGTTCCCCAATACTGGAAGGGGGCCTGAGTGAAAACGTTTGGGAAACCCTGCTCTAGAACAGACTGATCTGAGCTCTTAGGTTGTTGTAGCTGTGGCTCCTGTTTATCTGGGACTGAAGTAAAACTAACCTCAATTCTGTTCACTGAGATTCTCTCACTCGTTTCTCTGTGCACTTTTGCATTGGCTTTGAAGCTCATCTCAGCGCGGTAGTCGTTTAGCACATCTTGTACTTCATGTGCAGACCACTTGTCAATAGCCCTGGCTCTGAATGTTCTTTGCTTGGGCAGTTCCTGATGAACATGTGTGTAATGTCCTGTGTTGAGATCATCCTTTGCATTACCCTGTTCCTTCAGGCCTTCTGTAGCAGTGTGTGCTGCTCGGTTCAGTCTCAGCCAGTATTCAAATGGGTGCTCCTGTTCTTTGGGTAGAATCATGTAGAAATCTTCGAGTGGGATATGAGTATTGACTGCAGCTGAAATGCTTCCTGAGGAGACCATAAATGGCATCTGGGTTAGTATGAATGTCACTGTTTCTGATTCCGATTTAGACTTCATATTTTGTTCTGCACCCGAGATGGATGAGTATCTTTTCGGCCTGTTCCTCTGTTTTCATAATTTGGCCAAAAAATGTAACCGATTTTTATAGGGTCCTAGAGTTCCCACTTCTTCAGGTGGTGAATTGGCACCAATTGAATTAGGCCTATATGTCATATTAGTGCACATCTATTGAACCAAAAACAAAGGACAATTCTGGAGCCCTATTTTGATGGTATAATATAACAATAATAGCCTAATTGTCAATCCAAAATTCATGACAATCACTGGATTAGGTTGCATATCAAAATATATTGAATCATATGCAATCCTGCTTGGATATGTTAGATGTAACAACTTATTTATTGAATACCATCTCAGTAGTCTATTACACTTCTTATAAAGCATTGTGAATGACTTTATAAGATGATTACACATTTTTCTATTGCGTGATGCCACAATTATATTTTTTGGGGGGGTTCGACCAAATCATGGGCTGGTGCCACCAACTGAGGTACAAGTTTGTGGCACGAGTGCCACCAGGGGAAAACTTTAGTCTGGAGCCCTGTAGAGTGTCTTATTTGACGCCAAATCAACAGTTGTTAATGAAAACATAAATCGCAAATGTATGATACAGGTGGACCATCATTGTCCATAAAATAAAGTTTTTGTATTATAAATGTCAGCTGGTATATACCCAACTTGATACATTTCTGAGTGTAAAGGTGTAAATAAATTGTTAAATTCCAGCATAAAATGGGGAATACGTCATCTGGCACATTAGTGTGTTTACATTGTCTAATGCACTCAGTTGTAAGGGTATGGAATTCTGGGTAATCCACAGCAGATCTATGGAGAATTGTTGTGGGCGATTTGAGAGTTGAATGGCCTGGGATAAAAACTGTCATTAAGCTGTCATAAAATACACGTTTTGTAATTTTACTGTCACAACAACCTGTCATCTCTCCAGGTGTTTCAAGGTCTTCAAAGTCATCCATCAATTAGTAGATACAGAGGAGGACATTCTTATGGTAAATTACACATTTGTCTATGGTCACTTGTATGCAGTTTCACTCATTTAAACCTAACAGTATTGACTCGATGGAGCCTGGAGCAACCCTACCATTGAACACGTTTGAGAAAATTGATTAAATCCGTCATTGTTTCTAGGTTACCAAAGATGTCATCAGGGAGTTTGCAGCAGATGGAGTAAAATATTTAGAACTGAGAAGTACCCCACGAAAGGAGACGACCACAGGCAAGACCACAAGCTAGACACACTGGATTGGATCGATCGCTTATATGCAGGGTTTCGCTTACATTTGCTTTGTATAATTTAGGAATGACAAAGAGAACGTATGTGGAAACGGTCATCCAGGCCATCCGTCAATGTAAAAATGAGGGAGTGGACATTGAAGTCAGGTATGTTTTCAATGCATTTGTAATGCGTGCTTTACTTATGAATGCTGAAGTGCTGTTTCAAAACAATCAAGGATGGAGCCTCATGTGGCTCAGTTGTTAGAGCATGGCGCTTGCAACGCTAGGGTTGTGGGTTCGATTCCCACAGGGGACGAGTACAAAAAAGTATTAAAATGTATGCATTATCTGGATAAGAGTGTCCGCTAAATGACTCAAATGTAAGGAAATAAATACTCGAAAAATGTTTATTGATAGAAATTGGTATGGTAATAGTTATAAAAATGTATAGTAACTTACAATGAAAACATTGATACCTCAAGTAACATAAAAACATATTTTCCCCCATTTAGGTTCCTGGTAGCTGTTGACCGTAGGAATGGGACAGAGGTTGCTATGGAGACCGTTAAACTGGCGGAGGACTTCATGCTGTCTACTGGTGGTCTGGTGGTTGGGCTGGACCTCAGTGGAGATCCTACGGTCAGTAGTGGATCAGTGCCTTGCTTATGGTTGACACGTTTCTCAAGATGTCATAAATGCACTGATTCTAAGTCACTCTGGATAGGAGCTTCTGCGAAATGACTGTAATGTAAAATGTTTAATTTATTTCCAAGGTGGGCCATGGCAGAGATCTCCTTCCCGCCTTGCAAAAAGCCAAGAACTGTGGACTAAAACTATCTCTACACCTGTCAGAGGTAGGTACCATCAAAACTTAACTGATTCAAGCAATGCCAATTGATATAATGTTTTTTTGATAATAGTTTTGTGAGTTTATTTCATTCGTTTTGACTAAAATGCAATGTTCCAGGTGCCATCTCAGGCGGACGAATCAGAGCTGCTGCTAAACATTCCACCTGACAGGATTGGTCATGGGACGTTCTTACACCCTGAAGTGGGCGGGTCACAAAGCCTGGTTGATAAAGTGCGGAAGCATAACACACCTCTGGGTAAGAATGGTATGGTCAGGGCAGGAATGAGTCTAGTGATTGCTCTAAAATGATTATTTATTGACCATATCGGTCTTCTGTAAGGCTAGATTTTTTTCTTTAGATCTAAATTATCTAGAAAACATGAACAGGGCTAAGGGTTATAGAAACTGTTTGTTGATCTTATGGTAGCACATGTTGCCTCTATCCAAGCTGTTTCATATACTGTATCTTTCTGATACCTTAAACCTTTCCTCGCAGAACTATGCCTGACCTCTAATGTCAAGGGTCAGACAGTGTCATCCTATTCTCAACATCACTTCCTGTACTGGTACCAAATGGGACACCCCAGTGTGATCTGTGTAAGTGTTTGCCCAAAATGTGTTCGATGCATAAACGTTTAAAACTGAGAAGTGTTGAATTAAGAGTAAATTGATTTCCCATTCAATGAAACATTTGAGACATTCCGCTCAAGTCTCTCATTGGTATCAATGAATGATTTACGTGCAAGTCAGAGTTGCACACTTATCTTGTGGGAGCTTGACAGTACTCTTGTTGTTTTCAGACAGACGACAAGGGGGTGTTTTGCACGGACCTGTCTCAGGAGTACCAGTTGGCAGCCTCTACCTTCAACCTCAGTCAGGAGGACATGTGGACTCTGTCCCAGAAGGCTATAGACTGCACCTTCTCCCCTGACCTAAATCAGCAGCTACACCAGAGGTGGCTGGAGCTACGGCCAACGCTGTTCCAGTTATGACATGTCAAGCAGCGCATTCTAGGTGATCAGCCTGAGCAGAATCGCCAGTCTTGACCATTTGAGTAGTTATTTGAGATGCAAGATTTGTAGATCAGTGATTCCGGCAGAGCCTTGATCAGGCAGATCCACACCTCAGGTTTTTTTCCAAGTGTTTTCCTTATAGCTGAAGCATGCAAATCATCCAGGTCCATAAGCCATTTACAAAAGGGAGCTGTTTTGTATTTTTTTTGGTACTTGATATTTAAAAGAGTAAAGCAGTTTATCAATAAAACATGTTGCTTTTACTTATCTCCCAGTAAGTATAAGGTATTTTATCATACAAATATCATGTAGGCTACTATACTTTCTCCTCATACAAATACTAGAACAGAAGGCAGGCAAGTTTTCCATTCGCTGAAGATCGAGGCAAGGTGAGTGACATAACGGTCAAAGGAATCAGAGCAACAAACGTGTTTAATTTTCACTGCATGGTACAGAGATCTGGGTCATATAATACATAAAGTAACATATGCTCATCGTTCAATTAAGCATCTTTAAGTCTGATCCTTGCAAACTCCAACTCATCTGATTGTAAGCAACTCCATATTGTTGGTACTGGATTAAAATCAGCCGGTTACAGGAAAAGGCAGGTGATACATTGATTTGGGCTAGGTGGTGGAACCATATAATTACTATTCTATTTCTATGGGTGGAACTGTCTCCGCTGTATACTGTCTCCTATCCTAGGGTGGTGGGTCCATAAGAAATAGAATCATTTACTTCTGTGGATGGAACTCTGTCCCATTCCATCTAACCCTTGGGTGCAGGGCTAGGCATGAGGAAGGAACAGAGAAAGGTGGCACTGCCATTGGTCAAAGCACAGTCCTACTGCTGTACACCAAGTTTGTTATAGTAAACAAACAAAAACGAATGAAAAAACAATTTAGTAAACTGAAAAATAATTAAACCCATTTAAACAACAAACACCATTATGAATTATGTTCAGTTCGTTTTTGGGGAGACACATCAAATGGGATTTTCAATGCGGGGGGTTATATTGACTGACTTTAAATTATAAAAGGTAGACTCAGGTGTGATGAAGTTGCCACAAGCAGCACGGCAGACATTGGGCACGTTTGCGTGGTGAGGCAAAAGCAACCGACTAGACGGGGGAGGTGCATCTGCGACAGCATTAAGTCAGACACTCGTTTTCCAACAGCAAGGCTTGATAAACAATTGCAACACTGCAATGTTGATAAAAGGCTTACTTTATGTCAAAATAAACTTGTTTTTAACCCTCATATCACACTCACAAATGGAAATCATAATATGTGTACACACATTGTACAATCAGTGAAAGACCCAAATAAAACCTTTTGGGATATATATCTACTGTACACAAATCATGGCAAATTGGTTTGTTTCATTCACGTAATTGGTCAAACAAAAACACCCTAATGATTGGTTGACAATAGAACTTCCCACAATGCAGGCGAAGGCTGCAGGATGAAGTTGGTGAAGAGCATCTTCATGACCTTTCAACACATGATTTTTGTAAAGTTCATGCAGTCAACATATAGGTGCAAGTCGGACAACTTTTATCCCGGAATGCCGCTCGAACGCGCCCATTCAGATGTGCATGATGCAAGACTGCTCTCACACAGTCAAACAGTATCTGTGGCATGTGCACGGGTAGCTACGGGACCAAAACAGCAGAGAAGCCTCACGCTTCAGCTTCAGTTATTATAACTTCCTGGTTGTTGCGGAAATTGACCCATTACTATTGTTTACTTCGTGCATCTGCATCATCTCGCTGAGTCTACCTTTAAACCTAACGTAAGACCTGACCCATCAGCTTGTCATTACTGCCCCACAGTGGCAAGAAGTGACATCCCAAAAAACAAACACTATACAACACATAAATGGCTCCCAGCCTCCCATGCATAGGCTTCTTTCTGTCCATAAGCCAAACTAAATAATATAAAAACGAAATAGAAATGTTTTTATGAAATTAACTAGTAAAGTGGATCTGAAAACAAACTACATTTCTAATAATCTTAAAACTAATACAAATATAAGCTAATATAAACACTAAACTATAATGTACACTATAACGGCCTCTTTTCAAACTTCTTCTTCTCCTTGCCTCCTCCTCCCTTCTTCGTCTTCTTCAGTTTGCCGTGTCGCGGATCTCCTCCCTCGGTTTTGTCTGGCCTCGGCTGCTCATACTTCCTCTTCTTGTCACTGTTGGAGAACAGACATTGTTACATGATGAGCCATAATAAAATAATTATAATAAATGCCATTTAGCAAACGCTTTCATAAAGCGATTCACAGTAGCGCACGCATACATTTTCATACGGGTGGCCCCACCATAAAAACATTGACAAATCTTAGCCCTTCCCCATAACCCTAACCCTTTGATGTTTGCTGATCTGTAAGGTGTAAGCTCTACTACCTCACTGCAAATACCTATCCAGACCCTTCGGGGCTGAGAGGAAGGTAGCATATGGGAATCCGCTATTACATTGTTATAGCAAGGATTCTAGACATTGTTTCTCCTCTCACCTCTTTATGCTGACAACAGCCGTCTGTCCTGCTTTCTTCAACACCTGGTCCCATTCCTCGTCATCTCCTCGGATCAGGTACTGTTGCAGGTCCATCTCCTTGACCTTCTCCATGTCCTGTTTGTGCTTCTCCTGGAACTCTTTGGCTGCCTCATCCTGGGGAGAAAATACAATTATTTAATTGATTTTGCATTCATACACTCACTGCACATTATGGTCTATCTACCCATTCCAGTTGTCATGCCATTCATAAAACGGAGAAGAGTCCCGTACCAGATCATCATTGAGGGTTTTGACAGTGGGCTCCATGGAGACGTCTTTAGATACAACCATCTCCGCCTCAATGGCCTTCTCCTGGATTCTGTTGAAGAACTATAACAGCACACATAAACATGGTGAAAAGAAGTAAACAACTATACATGGTCAAAACAGGTCATAATGAATAAACTAGCCGTCATTGTCTGAGACACAGCAAGTACGAGACAGACTCAAAACTTTAGGACATTTCATCATACAACACATTTTCTAGGAACTAACGTTTTTTTTGTTCGCTGCTTTATACCTAAGCAGGTTGGATAAAACGGTAGAGTAAGAAATACAATTAACAAAATCGGAATTAAATAATTACATTTCCCCTCATGGGTACTAAATGCGTCTTTTCTTCTCACCTGCACTACTTTCCTGATGAGGCGGTTGAACAGACCCATGAGCTGAGAGCTGGGCAGGTCAATCTCCTTCTCAAGCTGGTCCACTGATTTATGCTGCAGCCCCACACCTAGCAACAGAGCCTGGAGATGAACAGACAGGTTTAGAGACTCGTTTTTTTTCTCTCTTTAACTGTGGAGGAGAGCTAAGCGTTACACTACACTGAGAAAGAGGGAGAGACAAGCGAGAATGAGCGAGTGTATGTGCATGTCTGTGCGCACACGTAATGTCCTACTCACACACTGTGCGGCGGACAGGGTCACGTCTCCCAGCTGTTTGAGGAAGAACATGCGTGCCACTGCAGGGATGAGGTCCATGATGAGGTGGTAGTCCACCATGTTTCTAGAGTACATCTCTAGACGCTTCAGATCATAGGGGCTGAACTGACCAGACAGCTGAGAATTGGTCAGAGCTGGGGAGAGAAAGCAGGTGAGACTCTGAAAACCGCTTGTCTGTAGCCCAAATCAGTCAAAAGTACTGGCCCAAAACGTTCAAAGGTTAGGGTAGACTGTCAACAGGTGGGGAGCCCCATTTTGGTCTAGTTAGACAACCTTCGGGACAGTGGTGGTTGGGGTTTTGACTGGTGGGGAGGGAAGGAGGGAGTAAAGGGGAACTTACCGGAGCTGGCATCCGTCTTGGTGGTGCTCTTGTTCTGCAGGATGTTGAGGGCCATACTGGGAGAGAAGCTGCTGAACTGGTAGGAGAGCAGAGACAGGAACCGCCGACGGAAATCTGGAAGAGACAAAGACAACGAGAGTTGTAATGCAGAGGGACAATAGAGTAGAACATCCGATGATACTTTATCTTCCATTTTGGTCTTCTGACTTTTTCCACAAAGAGACAGAACACATAGCATACACAAGCCTCACCTTTCCAGAAGGCAGCCAGCCACTGGCCCTGTTCAGGAGCCTCCACTGTGTTGAGCTCCTTCAACATCACCAATGAGTGCTCCCCCGTCAGGTCATTCTGGGAATCACAACACCACACCACGGGTCAAAAGACAATACCAAGCATTACAATAAGCAATACTCTGACTGCATCCAATTTCAGCACAATGATGTAAAGTAGTAAATTGTGAATTGTAGACATTTTCCACTTACAGGAGTTTGCCGTAAATAGACAGGGACAAAACCAGCTTTCTTCCAAAACCTGTGAGGTAACGAAAAAATGTTATGGTTGGTACTTGGAAAAGCACAGAGATGGTGAAGCCAAACAGACTTTCCCAGTGTCAGTAAACACAAATTATGTATATAAACGTATATAAGTCTATCTATGGTAAATAATCCACTGGCTATAAGGTGAATACACCAATTTGTAAGTCGCTCTGGATAAGAGCTTCTGCTAAATGACGTAAATGTAAATAATACTTACTTGAGCAGTGGAGGTGTGAGGCCGTAGGACACTCCCAGGTATTCCAGTCTCTCGGCCCTCCTCTCACTCAGCTTCAGAAGCAGAGGAGGGAGGTCCTTCCTAGGGTGCAACACCTCTTCTAGGAGGCTCACTGCCTATATATTAACAACACTGTTAGCAAAGCACGTCCTCCAACAGAATGACAACAGTCAACTCTGCTCAATGCTGCTCTTTGGAGTCAATGTGAGTGACAACAAAAAGACTGGATGACTTTTCTCCCTGTGGATGTGATTTCTATTCATACTCATGGAATGTGTACATTCAGGGGGCCTGTTTTTTTGTTGGTGAGTGTGCAAGTGTTTCCAGGCATTTGTGTGAGAGTGAGTGTGTGGCATTACCTCGCTGGTGACAGAGGTGATCTGGCTGTTAGCGGTCTGTGCGTTCTCATCCATGTAGGGAAACTGACCCTCGTAGTACAGCTGTAACTGCTGCACAGCTCTGGAGCCATAACCCATCTGCAGGACAGACAGGGAAACAACCAGTTAAAGGGATACTTCTGGATTTTGGCAACGAGGCCCTTTATCTACCTCCCCAGAGTCAGATGAACTCGTGGATACCACTTTTATGTCTCTGCGTGCAGTTTGAATCCCGAAGTATCCCTTCAACACACCATCTGTAGCCCCACATAGTCAACACACCTACATACAACTCATCAATTGCCTTGGAAAGACAGAACCAAAAAATTGTCTATTTAGAGAGCTGCACTGCACAAGCACAACTAAACAACGAACAAACCACGAAATGCGAAGAAAAAAAACAGAACTTACCCCCTGATAGTCAGGGTTGACAGCGATGCGCACCACCCTTCCTCCAGACAGACTGCCAAACTCTGGGTCTTGGAACTGCAGAGAGCACAATGTTAGAACTGATCACAATGCCAATAGTGTGAGATTATCAGTGGGAAACCATCTGGCTCCAGGCTTTAGGCCTGTATTCTCAATACCTGCTCTGACACGGTCCAGGGGATGAGGTCACCGGAAGCCTTCTTTCCTCTGGACAGACTGTTGAGGATGGACTGACGTGAGATCTCTCCTTCCAGACACACCTGAGAGGAACATTACGCACACATAACATCATCATCATCATCACACACACGCACTAACTTAAGGTAGTCCATCGCATCCGATGATGATTTCCACTACTGCTTGTGGGTTCGCTGACGACTGTAGAATCCGATGCTGGATGCACACTGTCTGCCACAGACAGAGCACACAAAAGGCCTATCCCGCTGAGGCCGGTGCAGGCATCGTCATGCGTCTTCTCTGGTCGCTTTGCCAGGCTACGTTCGGTCCTCTTTTCCCTCGGCCAACTGCACTCGACGGCAGAGGCCGCGCCAGGTGGAACGGTGCGCAGCAACAGTCTGGAGGGAGGCAGGGTTTATCCCACACTTCTTTAGTGATGTCTTCTGTTGATCCTTTAGCCGCCTTTTTCTGCCCACCTGCAGAGCGACGGCCCAGTTGTAGCTGTCCGTAAAGCATCTTTCGCAGCAGGCGATCCTCTAGCATCCGGATAGCATGGCCGAGCCATCTAAGCTGGTGGTGTGCGATGGACGCCTCAACGCTCCTGCAGTTGGTTCTCTTGTAGGATCACAGAGAGGAACACGGTCCTGCCAGGTCACTTTCAATATGCGTTGTAAGCATTTTATGTGAAAAGGACTCCAGTTGTTTTAAGTGTCAGCTGTAGACTGTCCATGTTTCACATCCATAAAGGGAGTGTAGATACACACACTGCCTGGTAGACTGCAACTTTGGTGTGTAGGTGCAGGTTGCTGTTGAAAATGATTGATTCTGGATATCCTGGTCGATGTTGCAGTCTTCCAATATTTAAAGTGTGGTACAATGGCAAGTGAGGAGCAGGGTTTCAGTTAGCCGGTAAAATAGCCAGATAATTGAAATTGGTGCTGCTAACTGTCCAGGAGAAGAAAGAAATCGCATTGCGAAATAATGCTTTTTTGCCTATTGATTGATGGAAATACCAGTCGATGGAAATACAGTACATTTGACTGGTCATGCTTATCGGTCTACAGGTTAATTTGCATAATTTAGTGGAATTAAATTGTTTACAGTATATTCGTTATGCATAAAGCATAGATACACAGAGCCTTTGAGCTGAAAATCTGTCGGACAGAGCGATAGCTGCTTCTACAGCACCTAAAAAATCTAATCCATGGGCAACAGAAGGCAGGCTTCTTCAGCGCGTCACAAAATTTTATAAAACATATACTTAATTGTTTGAAACCTGAATGTTTTACTACAGATTATGAGGCATGTCTTACCTTCAAAGTAGCCTAGCCAAAATCAGACCATATCCATGGAGGCAATTATTTTATATCAACTTTCTTTCATTGTCCAGTAGCCAACGGCACAATCCTTGTCATATTAGCAACGCATGCTAGTTGTTGCACATTAGATCTCCCCACTTTCTAACGGATATTTTCATGTCTGCCACATGAAACCGCTCGCATGTGCGGTGCGCTTTTGACAATGGTGTTTTCCCGCTAATTGCATTATGGAACGAACATTTGCGCGTCACATACTGCATTGCTGCGCTTATCCCCCTAGAGTTGATGTCCGCGCCCCTGTGGGAATCTAATTAGCATAATACAAAATCCCCATAAAATGTGTAAGTTTAAGGTAGAGATATGTTGTTTTTTGCATTGAATGACTCTCTATTCACCTCATCCGCTGACGTTGCACTTCTGCATCTGCGGTGAAAGGTGACAGAGCTAGAGCATCTACAAAATGAGTGGTGGACCTCCAAAGCACAAGAAATCCAATATTGTGCAGACAGATGACATGCACAACTTTTATGATGCCCTGAAGACCACCCACGGCCCAAGAAGTTGCGTTCGCTGTCCCCTCAGAAGTGCAGATGGGTCCACTCTCATAAAATAACAAACTAAGATAGTCCAGAGGTGGGGTGAACACTTGGAAGCCCTCTTAAACCAGCCAACTCCAGTTGACTACTCAGTCCTAGAGGAGCTCCCAACCCTGCCCACCATCCAGAGCCTTGATCTCCCATCCACCTGTTCTGAGGACTGCACCAGGTCACTGAAGAACACAAAAAACTCCATCCCTGCTGAGATCCTAAAAAAGGGGGGCTCTCTCCCAGTGCAGTTCACCTGTTCATCTCTGAGAAATGGAGACAAGAGAGCACCCCCCATCAATGGAGGGATGCAAACATTGTCACCATATACACCATATCCCTCCTTGCAGTTGCTGGTAAAGTCATGCTCCGCAGACTCCGACACCATCACTGAAGACCTGCTACCGGCGTCCCAGTGTGGCTTCAGAAAGAGCAGAAGCATGGTGGACATTATCTTTAGTGCACGCCAACTGCAGGAAAAGTGCTGTGAAAAGAAACAAGACCTGTTCATGGCCTTTGTGGACCTCTCCAAGGCCTTCGACACAATACACTGTGAACTCCTTTGTAAGGTCCTCCTGCAGTGTGGCTGCCCTGGGAAATTTGTGAACAAACAGCATGAGTTCCATGAGTGGATGGTGGCCAGAGTAAAAGTTGGCATTCAGGAGTCTGAACTCTTTGGAATCTCTCACCCGCGCGAGCGCGCACACACACACACACACACACACACACACACACAGACAGACAGACAGACAGACAGACTGACTGACTGAGCTCAGTGGGTTTACCTGTATGACAGCCAGGACCTCCGGCAGTGAGTTTTGTGTGGGAGGAACAGGAGGAAGTAGGCAGAAGAGGTGATGTGCTGGGGCGTCTGACAACATCTGCAGGTCGTTGGGAGAGTTCTGGAACCAGCAAAAGAAGAAGGCAGCAATCGGTTAAAATACAGATATACATAAGAGGAAGGTCTATGTAGGCACCACCAGGTTATTGGGACAGACATGAATGCCATTCTGGACAAATCTAATAAGACCACCTGTAATCCACAGTCAACCAAGGCTCTCCAACATACAGTACCAGGGTTTTCCTTTATTTTTATTTTTTTTACAATTTTCTACATTGTAGAATAATAGTGAAGACATCAACACTTATGAAATAACACATATGGAATCATGTAGTAACCAAAAAAGTGTTAAACAAATCAACATTTATTTTATATTAGGGATTCTTCAAAGTAGCCACCCTTTGCCTTGATGACAGCTTTGCACTCTTGGCATTCTCTCAAACAGCTTCATGAGGTAGTCACCTGGAATGCATTTCAATTAACAGGTGTGCCTTCTTAAAAGTTAATTTGTGGAATTTCTTTCCTTCTTAATGTGTTTGAGCCAATCAGTTGTGCTGTGACAAGGTAGGGTTGGTATACAGAAGACAGCCCTATTTGGTAAAAGACCAAGTCCATATTATGGCAAGAACAGCTCAAATAAGCAAAGAGAAACGACAGTCCATCATTACTTTAAGACATGAAGGTCAGTCAATACGGAACATTTTCAGAACTTAGGTTTCTTCAAATGCAGTCGCAAAAAACATAAAGCGCTATGATGAAACTGGCTCTCATGAGGACCACCACAGGAAAGGAAGACCCAGAGTTACCTCTGCTGCAGAGGTTAACTGCACCTCAGAAATTGTAGCCCAAATAAATGCTTCAGAGTTCAAGTAACAGTCACATCTCAACATCAACTGTTCAGAGGAGACTTCGTGAATCAGGCCTTCATGGTCAAATTTCTGCAAAGAAACCACTACTAAAGGACACCAATAAGAAGAAGAGACTTGCTTGGGCCAAGAAACACGAGCAATGGACATTAGACCGGTGGAAATCTGTCCTTTGGTCTGAGGAGTCCAAATTTGAGATTTTTGGTTCCAACCGCTGTGTCTTTGTGAGATGCAGAGTAGGTGAACGGATGATCTCCGCATGTGTGGTTCCCACCGTGAAGCATGGAGGTGTGATGTTTTTATTTTTTTACTTGTGTTTAAGTCATCCGTTGTTTGGGTTAGAGGTACATTTCCTGTGGACAAATAGATAGCCACCAGTACACACTGAACTCAAACAGGCTGTAAGAGACAGTGGGGACATTTGGGACAGAGGTATGAATAATTGAATAAGATAGGTTTTTGACAATTTCTTTCTAAATTCTATAGTTTGGGTAGCACCAGTGATTTAAGTAAGAAGGTAATGTCATCTAAAACAATCTGTTTTCCATTACGTGGAACTGTGTCTAGAATTCAGTAGATCCAAGTAAATGTTTTTAGTACCGAATATTGAGCTGATAAGCCAGCACCAACTTTTTGAAGGTCCAAGCAGATGTTAAACAACAGGTTTTATATTTAGACTAAGTGTATGTCCCTGGGGCAGTTTGTACGTCAATGCAACAGGTCAAAATGACAATGATTACAAGAGAGGGGCTCTGGGATTGTTCAGCATGACGGGACACTATCATCTGATGTGTCTGAAGTATAATTCTGTATACGACTGATGGAATGTCCACTACCAAGTTTAAAAACAACATGTTTATGATTTTGTATCTCTCCCTTTGAAAGGCTTCCTAAGGCAAGTGCCTTGGGAGAGCAGTTGAAGGTACCCGGATCCAGCTGTTAAGGGAGCTTCCAAATTAATTAAGGCCTGGCCATTTTGTTTGTTTTTACCCTACGATTTTTTAGGTATAGGAAAACAAACTCATTTAACAGGGCTGACTGACCTCTAACCTCTGTTCTGACTTCCTGGCGAGGCCTGATCACCCTAACTAGAAAGACTGGAGACACTGGGTGAGATTTAAATGGGCTATGTAAACACTAATAATTAAGAAGAAGTTTATAATTTATCAATAGTCCCATGTGTGATTTGGACCACGAGAAGGACAGAGAGAGCGCTGCCCCGGAATGAGGGACACCTGTCTCTATTCTATTTTACCATTATCTTATGGGATACAATTATTTCCTTATGGAGTTATCTAGAGTTGTAATTCTAATTTGATTTGTTACTCTAATTTGTTTATTTTTGATTTAACAGGCAGTGTTGTTTTTTTGGACGCATTAATCACGATGTGAGTCATGTGTCCAAAGGGGGAATCATTACCAGTCCCCTTGGGTCCTTTGGTAATGCAAATTGATTTTCTTGGTTGACAGTTACTCCAAATGGATTGAAGTTTTCCCCAGATGCTGACCTTCTAGGCAGAGTTGCAAAGAAAAAGCCATATCTCAGACTGGCCAATTAAAATAAAAGATTAAGATGGACAGTCTGAGATATGTATTTTTCTTTGCAACTCTGCCTAGAAGGTCAGCATCCCGGAGTCGCCTCTTCACTGTTGATGTTGAGACTGGTGTTGTATATTTGTATATTTACAATTTTAGGTCAGCTATGCTGGCCTATGGAGTCCCTCAGGAAACTTAACTACCGAACCTTCCAATGATGGTATTTATAAATAAATGATCTGGGCTTCTGAAAGGACTGATCCCTATAATATATAAACAACTTTTGGAAAGCTCATTCTGAGCTAGCCATTAAAAACTATGGTCCACAGATGTAAGTGCATATGAAGAACCCTTTAACTGGAACAGAAAATGGAAAAATATGACATTGGCATCCTGTAATCCGAACCATCAACTTAAACATTTTAAATTTAACAACAAGTTTTCAGATTAAATTGGCCCTAACTCCCAAATGTTCACTCTGTCCCCTAAATCAGGTAGGCACATTCCTTCATATGATGTGGGAGTGCCCTGCAGTTAAACGCTCCTGGGACAAAGTTAAACAATTAATTTCGAAGTGCATGAATGTAAATATTTAATGCTTTGCATCTACTATGTTTATTAATAATGATGGCTCCTTGAATCTCTCAATACATCAGAGACAATTACTGCTGTCAGGCAGCACTGCCGCAAAAAATATGTTGGCAATCACCTCACTCCCAATTTGCCAGTGGCTACAGTTACTATTAGAAGTTATAACATTAGAGTTATCGACAGCGAGAATAAATTGTGCTAGTCAAGAAACAATTGAGGCCTGGACAAATACACTTGACTTAGTAAAGAACAATCTCAGCTAAATCCCAACACAAACAAATAAGCAATCTATAAAGCCCAAACACATATACATACATACACACACATATACAGTGAGGGAAAAAAGTATTTGATCCCCTGCTGATTTTGTACGTTTGCCCACTGACAAAGACATGATCAGTCTATAATTTTAATGGTAGGTTTATTTGAACAGTGAGAGACAGAATAACAACAAAAAAATCCAGAAAAACACATGTCAAAAATGTTATAAATTGATTTGCATTTTAATGAGTATTTGACCCCTCTGCAAAACATGACGTAGTACTTGGTGGCAAAACCCTTGTTGGCAATCACAGAGGCCAGACGTTTCTTGTAGTTGGCCACCAGGTTTGCACACATCTCAGGAGGGATTTTGTCCCACTCCTCTTTGCAGATCTTCTCCAAGTCATTAAGGTTTCGAGCCTGACGTTTGGCAACTCGAACCTTGAGCTCCCTCCACAGATTTTCTATGGGATTAAGGTCTAGAGACTGGCTAGGCCACTCCAGGACCTTAATGTGTTTCTTCTTGAGCCACTCATTTGTTGCCTTGGCCGTGTGTTTTGGGTCATTGTCATGCTGGAATACCCATCCACGACCCATTTTCAATGCCCTGGCTGAGGGAAGGAGGTTCTCACCCAAGATTTGACGGTACATGGCGCCGTCCATCGTCCCTTTGATGCGGTGAAGTTGTCCTGTCCCCTTAGCAGAAAAACACCCCCAAAGAATAATGTTTCCACCTCCATGTTTGACGGTGGGGATGGTGTTCTTGGGGTCATAGGCAGCATTCCTCCTCCTCCAAACACGGCAAGTTGAGTTGATGCCAAAGAGCTCGATTTTGGTTTCATCTGACCACAACACTTTCCCCCAGTACTCCTCTGAATCATTCAGATGTTCATCGGCAATCTTCAGACGGGCCTGTATATGTGCTTTCTTGAGCAGGGGGACCTTACGGGCGCTGCAGGATTTCAGTCCTTCACGGCATAGTGTGTTACCAATTGTTTTCTTGGTGACTATGGTCCCAGCTGCCTTGAGATCACTGACAAGATCCTCCCGTGTAGTTCTGGGCTGATTCCTCACCGTTCTCATGATCATTGCAACTCACGAGGTGAGATCTTGCATGGAGCCCCAGGCCGAGGAAGATTGACAGTTATTTTGTGTTTCTTCCATTTGCGAATAATCGCACCAACTGCTGTCACCTTCTCACCAAGCTGCTTGGCGATGATCTTGTAGCCCATTCCAGCCTTGTGTAGGTCTACAATCTTGTCCCTGACATCCTTGGAGAGCTCTTTGGTCTTGGCCATGGTGGAGAGTTTGGAATCTGATTGATTGCTTCTGTGGACAGGTGTCTTTTATACAGGTAACAAACTGAGATTAGGAGCACTCCCTTTAAGAGTGTGCTCCTAATCTCAGCTCGTTACCTATATAAAAGACACCAGGGAGCCAGAAATCTTTCTGATTGAGAGGGGGTCAAATACTTATTTCCCGCATTAAAATGCAAATCAATGTATAACATTTTTTACATGCATTTTTCTGGATTTTTTTGTTGTTATTCTGTCTCTCACTGTTCAAATAAACCTACCATTAAAATTATAGACTGACCATTTCTTTGTCAGCGGGCAAATGTACAAAATCAGCAGGGGATCAAATACTTTTTTCCCCTCACTGTGTGTGTGTGTATATACATCTATACACACACACACACACATACATACATACATACATACCTATCTATCAAGGTTGCCGTTAGCCGGCTTTTGGCCGATAACATTTTTTAAAAGCCGATAAATTTCTCCCGGCCAATTGTCCGGGAGAAAAATAAATCTCATTGCAAAACTATGCGTTTTAGCCTATTGATTGATGGAAATACATTTGACTGGTCATGCTTATCGGTCTATAGGTTAGTTTGCATAACTTAGTGAAATTCAATTGGCGCGTGTACAGTATATTTGTTATGTATGTTATTTATCACATGCGTACAGCATACATATAGACCTACAGAGTCTTTGAGCGGAAAATCTGTCAGACAGCTCAAGAGCTGCTGCTACAGCATCTCAAACAGCAAATTCATAGGCAACGTAAGACAGGCTTCATCAGCGCGTCACACACCACTTTGCAATGAGCTGGAGGCAGTATGCATTTTGAAAACATATACTTAATTGTTTGACACCTGAATGTTTTACTACAGATTATGAGGCATGTCTTACCTTCAAAGCAGCATAGCCAAAATCAGATCATATCCATGGAGGCAATTATTTTATATGAACTGTCTTTCATTGTCCAGTAGCCAAAGGCACAGTTCTAGTCATATTAGCAACCCATGCTAGTTGTTGCATATTAGATCTCCCCTCTTTCATGAAATTGCATTATAGAACGCACATTCGCGTGTAGCCTAGGAGCACCTATGCCTTGTGCGCCCTGCTGCGCTTATAATGTGAAGAAATATTAGTTTATCAACATGTTACATCAGACTCATTGCTTTTTAATGTTGACGAAGCCTACTGGTTGTACGGATTTGGGGGTGTTACTTTTTGGATCTGCGGTATGATCCTGATGATCAATGCTTTGTATTCGTGTTTTTCTTCTTTTTGAGTGGCAGCGCTCCCCCTCCATCAGCCACTAGTGTGTGTGTGTGTGAGTGTGTGTGCAATGCTCAGGCTCACCTTGTAGTGCGATGCCACATAGAGAGCCATGAGTCTCTGCAGGAAGGCTTCAGATGCCTTGTGGTAGCAGAACAGTGTGTCTCTGTTCACATAGTATCTGTACATCACAGGTTAAGGACGACAACAACAACAACTACTAAGACAATCATACAGCGTGCCATTAAAAGCCACAATACTGAATTTGTTTTACGGCCAAACAGCAGCCCTGTAAAGCTGAGGGATGGAGCTAGAGTAATAACCACTGAACAGCATTATCTATTGCAGATTGCACCATGAAAGGATACAGGTCGCAGGTCTGTGGCAGGGGGCAGCCAGAGATGACTCTGGGGATGTTTAGGCAGTCCAGACACAGCAGCTCGTTGAGCCACTTCTCTACAGGGTCTCCCATGGCATAACGGATGGACTCATGGAGGGACACCTCTTGGAGGGAGCGAGCTGGGGGAGGAGGAACACAAGAATTAAAACACATTACAGGTACAGATGCGTTAGAACAATGTAATGTATTTTTTGTAAATCTTTCTTTGCATTAGTCTTTTCATATAGCACTGACTGCAGATAGTTATTTTGTAGAAAATCTGATTTGCAATTCTTGTGTTAGTTGGTTTTACCTACGGTAGTTGAATACATTGATTGTGAGTCTGGATAAGACTAGAGTCTGCTACATGACTAAAAGGTACATATAAAATGTAGTAAGGGTGTCTTGGTCACCTGCGTTCAGCCTGGCTGTGTTGGTGCTCCTGTTCTCTGCTGACAGACTCTGCTGGCTCTCTGAACTCTGCTGCCTCAACTGTTGAATCAACTTCAGGGAGAGAGAACGACCTGTGCCCTCATACCTTTAGGGATAGAAAGAGAGGGAAGTCAGGAACACACAGACAGTTTGTGCTATGGTGCCCTTGCACTGACCCATTGTTACTTGCACGGAGAGAGCAAGGGGTAGGAAACACGCACACAGGTTTCGGAAACTCTCTCTCTCACACACAGACATATACACACACGCCACTGACCCATTGATACAGTGGCTTGCGAAAGTATTCACACCCCCTTGTCATTTTTCCTATTTTGTTGCCTTACAACCTGGAATTAAAATGGATTTTTGGGGGGTTTGTATCATTTGATTTACACAACATGCCTACCACTTTGAAGAAGATGCAAAATATGTTTTCTTGTGAAACTAGAAATAAGACAAAAAAACAGAAAACTTATTAACTATTATAACTATTCACCCCCCCAAAGTCAATACTTTGTAGAGCCACCTTTTGCAGCAATTACAGCTGCAAGTCTCTTGGTGTATGTCTCTTATAAGCTTGGCACATGTAGCCACTGGGATTTTTGCCCATTCTTCAAGGCAAAACTGCTCCAGCTCCTTCAAGTTAGATGGGTTCTGCTGGTGTACAGCAATCTTTAAGTCATACCACAGATTCTCAATTGGATTGAGGTCTGGGCTTTGTCTAGGCCATTCCAAGACATTTAAATGTTTCCCCTTAAACCACTCAAGTGTTGTTTTAGCAGTATGCTTAGGGTCATTGTCCTGCTGGAAGGTGAACCTCTGTCCCAGTCTCAAATCTCTGGAAGATAAAAAGGTTTCCCTCAAGAATTTCAAGCCATCCATCATTCCTTCAATTCTGACCAGTTTCCCAGTCCCTGCCGATGAAAAACATCCACACAGCATGATGCTGCCACCAGCATGCTTCACTGTGGGGATGGTGTTCTCGGGGTGATGAGAGGTGTTGGGTTTGCGCCAGACATAGCGTTTTCCTTGATGGCCAAAAAGCTCAATTTTAGTCTCATCTGACCAGAGTACCTTCTTCCATATGTTTGGGGAGTCTCCTACATGCCTTTTGGTGAACACCAAACGTGTTTGCTTATTTTTGTCTTTAAGCAATTGCTTTTTACTGGCCACTCTTCCGTAAAGCCCAGCTCTGTGGAGAGTATGGCTTAAAGTGGTCCTATGGACAGATACTCCAATCTCTGCTGTAGAGCTTTGCAGCTCCTTCAGGGTTATCTTTGGTGTCTTTGTTGCCTCTGATTAATGCCCTTCTTGCCTGGGCCGTGAGTTTTGGTGGGCGGCCCTCTCTTGGCAGGTTTGTTGTGGTGCCATTTTAAAATAATGGATATAAATGGTGCTCTGTGGGATGTTCAAAGTTTCTGATATTTTTTTATAACCCAACCCTGATCTGTACTTCTCCACAACTTTGTCCCTGACCTGTTTGGAGAGCTCCTTGGTCTTCATGGTGCAGCTTGCTTAGTGGTGTTGCAGACTCTGGGGCCTTTCAGAACAGGTGTATATATACTGAGATCATGTGACAGATCATGTTACACTTAGATTGCACACAGGTGGACTTTATTTAACTAATTATGTGACTTCTGAAGGTAATTGGTTGCACCAGATCTTATTTAGGAGCTTCATAGCAAAGGGGGTGAATACATATGCACGTACCTCATATCCATTATTTATTTTGTATAATTTTTTTTAATAAGTTATATTTTTTCATTTCACTTCACCAATTTGGACTATTTCATGTATGTCCATTACATGCAATCCAAATAAAAATCTATTTAAATTACAGGTTGTAATGCAACAAAATAGGAAAAACGCCAAGGGGGCTGAATACTTTTGCAAAGCACTGTACTTGACCAGACGGGGGGTGGTCAGGACCACATACACACACCACTGACCCGTTGATGGTGGAGGCCATGAAGACCAGGTATGGTCCCAGCAGCTTCTTGACCAGAGGAAGAGGGATGGCTGCAGCCTCATCTATCACCAGCAGCTCAGCCTGACCCAGCTTCACTGAATCAGCTGGGTGGATGTACTGAATAGTCTGTCTATGCTCCTTAAAGACGTTCACTCTAACCACGGCCTTGTTGAACTCAGGGTTCAGAGACTGGATGATCTCATAGTCCAGGTGCTCCTGGGAACGGGAGAGGGATGCTTAAGTTAGGAATAAACTTAACGAAGCTCCCATCGTCTGACATAGTTCACTCACAGACAGAAAGACTATAGAGAGAAAGAGAAAGAAAAAGGTCACCTGGTACTGAAGGGCATCGAAGCCTTTGAAGATGAATTCAAACAGAGTGTGCAGGTTGTCTGGGCTGGGGGAGGTGATGAAGATGTTGGAGTAGCTGTGGAGATGGACAATATGACACTATGAGCAACAGTATGTCACAGAATGGAGTGTATGAGTTAAGGTACTCCACACAGATCACTGTTAGCGAGTCTGTGTCTCCTCCAACATAGCGACAAGCACATTTAAGTAGATTCATCAGAAACTGTAAAGACTCATGAGTGTATGTGTGAGAAAGACGAGGCAGGTGAATCAGAAGTCAACCGTACCCAAATGCCACAGCCCCAGCCACAGCCAGTCCCAGTGCTGCAGACTTGCCCCTGCCTCTAGCAGCAGTCAGAGCTACAGTGCTCCTCAGGGTCTTCTCTGAGATGGCCTCAATGAACTTCAACACCGCCTTGGCCTTGGAGGGAGAGACCGCAACAAACCATTTACATTTTAGTCATTTATCAGACGATCATATCCAGAGCGACTTACAGTTAGTGAGTGAATACATTATTTTATTTTTCATACTGCCCCCCCGTGGGAATTGAACCCACAACCCTGGTGTTGCAAACGCCATGCTCTACCAACTGAGCTACATCCCTGCCGGCCATTCCCTCCCCTACCCTGGACGACGCAGGGCCAATTATGCGCCGCCCCATGGGTCTCCCGGTCACGGCCGACTACGACAGAGCCATAAGCTAAGAAACACACACTATGAATAACATGATCTCCACTGAGAGGTGCAAAGCTTGGATAGGAACTAGTCAATAAATGCTTTCCTACACCCATTTACCACCCCATCCCCCATTGTCTTCTGACAGGTGGCGTTACTACTATTATCACCAGTGCAGACAGATTCATGCTATCTGACATAAGACAATGTCCTATCCCCTTGATTTATATATGAGAGTATGTCCTGACCTGGTCCATGGTCTTGCAGCTGTCGACCAGCACACCAACAGGCTGCGTGTCCTGTAGAGACTCCTTTAACTCATTCAGCTCCTGTTCCCGTGGCGACAGACTGTCCTCCTGCAGGAAGGAGACAAATGATTGGTTATAAGGTTAGTCAGGTTAGAACTCATAAGTCAAACAATGTTGTTTTTGGCTTAAGTCATGTTCACTAGGCACGAAACTGAAGGAACCTTGCTACAGTGTGCCCTAAGAAACAGAACCTAGGATTGCTGTGGAGCATGGGATTGTGTGCCTACCTGAGTCTTGGGAGGAACAGGCTTGATGTTGGCAATGTGGCTGGAAATGGGCAGGACGTTGAGCTGGTCGTCAATGACAACGCACGTCTTACAGGACGACAGAGATAGGATGAACCTGGAGGGGAGGGCAGTTAGTTACCATATAATATAATAATATGCCATTTAGCAGACGCTTTTATCCAAAGCGACTTACAGTCATGTGTGCATAAATTTTTACGTATGGGTGGTCCCGGGGATCGAACCCACTACCCTGGCGTTACAAGCGCCATGCTCTACCAATTGAGCTACAGAGGACCACAATTGGAGATGGTGTCAGTTAGGGTCATATGGCTTGTCAGTCATTTAAAAATAACAAGGAAGCCCTTGTGAGAATAGTCCTTAAGAGTTGTAATTGGGCGGCCTTATATAAACTACACTGAACAAAAATATTAAAAACGCAAGATGTAAAGTGTTGGTCCCATGTTTCATGAGCTGAAATAAAAGATCCCAGAAATGTACCATACGCACAAAAAGCTTATGTCTCTCAAATTTGGTGCACAAATTTGTTTACATCCCTGTTAGAGCATTTCTCCTTTGCCAAGATAATCCATCCACCTGACAGGTGTGGCATATCAAGAAGCTGATTAAACAGCATGATCATTACACAGGTGCACCTTGTGCTGGGGACAATAAAAGGCCACTAAAATGTGCAGTTTTGTCACACAACACAATGCCACAGATGTCTCAAGTTTTGAGGGAGCTTGCAATTGGCATGCTGACTGCAGGAACGTCCACCAGAGCTGTTGCCAGAGAATTGAATGTTAATTTCTCTACCATAAGCCGAGGTGGTTTATGTCGTTTTAGACAATTTGGCATACATCCAACCGGCCTCAAAACCGTAGACCACGTGTAACCATGCCAGCTTCTTTACCTACGAGATCGTCTGAGACCAGCCACCCGGTTTCAACTGTACCGGGCAGATGGCAGACAGTGTATATGGCGTCCTGTGGGCGAGCGGTTCGCTGATGTCAACATTGTGAACAGAGTGCCCCACGGTGGCAGTAGGGTTATGTTATGGGCAGGCATAAGCTACGGAGAACGAACACAATTGCATTTTATCGATGACAATTTGAATGCACAGCGATACCGTGACGAGATCCTGAGGCCCATTGTCGTGACATTCATCCGCCGCCATCGCCTCATGTTTCAGCATGATAATGCACAGCCCCATGTCGCAAGGATCTGTACACAATTCCTGGAAGCTGAAAATGTCTCAGTTCTTCCCGCCAATATCCAGCAACTGCGCACAGCCATTGAAGAGGAGTGGGACAACATTCCACAATCAACAGCCTGATCAACTCTATGCGAAGGAGATGTGTTGCGCTGCATGAGGCAAATTGTGGTCACATCAGATACTGACTGGTTTTCTGATCCACGCCCCAAAGTTTTTTTTTTAGGTGTCTGTGACCAACAGATGCATATCTGTATTCCCAGTTACGTGAAATCAATAGATTAGGGCCTAATTTATTTATTTCAATTGACTGACTTCCTTATATGAACAGTAACTCAGTAAAATTGTTGCATGTTGCGTTTATATTTTTGTTCAGTGTATTTGAAGACCACTGACCTCTCATTGAACCTTCCCACCACGTCCTGATGGGCCTCGGTCCTGTAGCGAGAATGAACATCCTGGGGAAGGAAAGTATACAGTGCATTCGGAAAGTATTCAGACCCCTTGACTTTTTCCACATTTTGTTACGTTACAGCCTTATTCTAAAATGGATTAAATTATTTACACACAATACCCCATAATGAGAAAGCGAAAACAGGTTTTTAGAAATGTAAAAACAGCAATATTTAGACAACAGTAGTCTTGAACTGGCTCCAACACAGCAAGAACTAAATAATACACGAGTACACAGTTCACTGAAAACATCTATGGGGCCTTACCATAGTCATTGTATACAGCTGCTTGAGTGAGTTGACCGTCCTGAGAAGAATTACCACGATCCCTCCTCCTTCTACAGTCTCCACAGTTCGAGCTAGGAGGTTGGGAGTGAGAGCCTCAAAGTCCTGTGTGAGGGAGAGAGAGAATGAGTGAGACAAAAATGTTCAGTACACATCTTGAGAGGTGAACACAAGGATTGGAAGATGTCAGGTGTTGTCAGCCAGGACGACAAGAATAAGAACAAGCATGTCTCACCTGCAGGACGCACATGCCGTAGGTGTTTCCCAGAATCTTGTGCGTCTCGTTGTAGTAACAGTAGCGGATGTTAGTGGCAGCGACAAACAGCTCAAAAGGGTCGTCTTGCTTAATGTTCAGAGTGCCGGTCTTGATCTTCTTCTGGAGCTGACGCATGCGCTTCTTTCGGTTGCTGTTAAAGTTTAGACAATAGAGCAAAATGAATCAACTCCTTTCAAAACATTCCTACTGCAAGACCTCACTCTCTAGCCTGGTCCCAGACATGTTTGTGCCATCTGGCCATGACAATTAGTGTTGCCAACTCACACATTGGGCGTGAGACACACGCATTAGACCTTCTCTTCACACCTCTTATTTCTCATGCATTGAAACAAGTACTGCTTTTATTTTCTAATTAATCCAGTTTATATTCAGTGCGTTAACTTTTCAACTGTGCCTCTAAATTGTTTTGAAATCAGAGCATATGGGCCTGCAATCCTACATCAGAAGCACTGTAACCGCGGCAGCTTAGCCCAGGAAATCCATCATTTTCCTGCCACTGTACTGTGAACCGTGGCAGATTAAAGCTTGTGATTGGTTTATTAAGAGTCCAGGACTATGGAGATTGGATGCGAGTTTGCAAAGAAACGCCCCTCAAGATTAGAGTGGAGCAGGCAGCCACGGCAGACTTCACAAGCACATTCGTTCACTGCTGAAGTTTCTGAACTCAATTGTCAAAAGAGCAGCACGGCAACTTGTAGCGCTGTTTTGTGCACATAATTGTCAACAAATGAAATTGCTGTCACTCATGTCCCTTTTGCAGAAGCCTTCCTTTTGACAGATAGATGTATTTATTTTTGTCAAATGCACAGGTTGCATCATATCTACTGGGGGGGCATTCTGTTCGTTTTGATGGAAGAGGGGAGAACAGGCCATGGCTCGGGTGGCTGAGGTCCCTGATGATCTTCTTGGCCTTCCTGCGACACCTGGTGTTGTAGGTGTCCTGGAGGGCAGGCAATGTGTACCCAATGGTGCATTCGGCTGAGCGTACCACCCTCTGTAGTAGTGCCTTATGGACAGCGGCGGTGGAGTTGCCGTACCAGGCTGTGATGCAGCCCGACAGTATGCTCTCGATGGTGCTCTTGTAGAACACTGAGGGCCCTCGGGGACAGGCCGTATTTCTTCAGCCTGTCGTGCATTCTTCACCACGGTGTCCGTGTGGTTTGACCATTTCAGCTCCTCTGAGATGTGTATGCCGTTTTTGACCGTCTCCGAAGCGGCCCTCTTGATGAGGATGCCTGGTTCTTCCTGAAGTCCACAATCAGGCCTTTTATTTTGCTGGCGTTGAGGGAGAGTTTATTTACCTGGCACCACACCTTCAGAGTGCCTACCTCCTCCCTGTAGGCAGCCTCGTCATTGTTGGTAAATCAGGCCTACTATTGTAGTGTTGTCAGCGAACTTGATGGTGGACTTGACAGCATGTGATACTAGTGATGTAATCCACCACTTGCATGAGCCCAGATCCATAGGATGCATTATTCACTTCGTTTGGACATTGGCAATTTAGCACTAGGATTATTCAGCTGTAAGAGCGAAAAGGCAGCAGCATTCAGCAGGAATTTTGGTAGGGTGAACTGATTTGTCTAACATTATTTTGCCCAAACAGATTGTGAACCCAAGTTTGTAACTGATTCTAGTCGAGGTACAATACTTTGAAAGATAATTTGGGTTGGGTGTAGGGGCAGATTCAGGCTGTGTCATCTTGTCTTCAGGAGATTTTATCTGTTTAATTTATTTGGATTTTCACAAAAGAAACCCTGCGAATAATAGCCTTTTCTGTGTTGAGGAAATGAAATCAGGAAAGGGACTAGATTTGAGGTCGCTTGAAGCTTCGGTCTCTGGTGGGGAGAGGTCGTGCCCAATCTCGCATTAGGAGGAAAATAATAAACGGTGTGTGAATGTTCATTGAAATACTGAGTGTTGAAAAAAATGTACGTTACCAGGAGGATTAGCGTTAAGAGTAAGGTGGGCACAAATAATATTACCCAAATTGGTACATGAAATTAAAAGGTGGGGGCGTAGACCGGGAGAGAAGACAATATTTAAACCACAATTAATGAAACAGTGGTGGGCACAGGAAATAGCAATAATAGAAATCTGGCTAGGAGAATTTGAGATATGGACTAGCCGTCCAGGTATATGCTTCCCCTGTAGCTCAGTTGGTAGAGCATGGCGCTTGCAACGCCAGGGTTGTGGGTTCGTTTCCCACGGGGGGCCAGTATGAAAATGTATGCACTCACTAACTGTAAGTCGCAATGGATAAGAGCGTCTGCTAAATGACGTAAAACGTATAAACAAGTATATAAAGAAATAAAAGAGAAAACTAAAAAGGAAAGTTAGGGAAGAAATGCCAATACGAAGAATAGAAGGAGAACCAGCGGCATTCAGATATAGGATAAAGGGATGTACATTAGTAGAATACACAGTGACAGCTAACATAAAAAGAATAACATATGATGTGGATATACTGAAAGACAGGAAAAGCAGATATAGGAATTTAGATACGAAAGACTTAGATTACAAAAATAGAAGGGAAGGAATATGAGAAAATAGTCATGTGGATATTAATAGGGGAAAATAGGGTGTGGTCTAGCGACCCAAGATTAAATAGACCACTGAAAATACCTCTGTACAGGACAATGAGATAACTTTCATGAATTTGAGATAGAATACGGGAACAAAGAATACAAAATAATATAATACCTAAGTACAGGAGAGCGAGTGTGTTATCTTAATGGGAAGTGAAACAAGGGAACAAAGAGTAAAAATAATAATTAGAGGCACACAAGGAATAAAAACCCATTTTTGGAAAGAAGCAGAGTATGAAGATATATTAGGGGGAAGGATACCATTAACTGAGGAATATAAAAACTTTCAGCTGAGATCGCTAACAGAAATACATTTAGCAGAGACAAGAGAAGAGTGGCCATTTGTGGATTGGCCTGGAATAGTAGGAAGAAATTGGACAGTACAGAACATTGGAGAAACTCTTGAAGAGTTAGCAGATCAAAAAAGGTTGTATTTTATAATAATCCCAATAGATAAACAGGTTGAACCTTGGCTGACACTAGGGGAAGAGCACAATAATAAGGGAACAATTAGGCACAAGGAAAACAGTAAGGAAAATATTGTTGACCCTACACCCTAACATAGACACTGAACCAAACATAAGATTAGCAACAGGAAGGCCAAGAATCCAAGGAGTAGAGACGGCAGGAACACCAGTAGAAATGATAAAGAGAAGGTTCTCATTGAATAAAGAAGGGATTGGAAAAAATCTCTGATAAATGGAAAATAAGAACCAGAAAATGGCAACAAAATGGCCAAAGGAAGGGACGTTTGATGTAGCAGCGTGTGAGGAAATGGATACCATAATACAGAACTATAAAGCAGGGAATGTAGAGTTAAAGAAGAAAAAAGGAAGCCACAGGCTTCCACCCCAAAGAAAGGAAGAGAACCACACTTAGATATAGACTGTTATGAGGGACTGAGGGGCATGTTAACAAAACTGGAAAATTATGGGAAAGATTAACAAGATTATGATGGGCAAAGTGAGTGAGGATGCAAGTAATGAGGAAGATGAAGAACTTAAGACAGTGTGCTCACTCTGATCAAGAACAGAGTGAGACAGAGGGACAATTATCACAGCAAGGTGCCACGGGAGGCAAATCTATAGTAACAGAATTAGGTAAGGCACTGCAAGCCCATCTGGAAAAATCTAAAAGAGAATTAAGAAAAGCCAGAAAAGTATGGAGCTCAATATCCCATTTTGGTAAAGGGGACATGTTCACCATGTGCCCTGGGGATCACAGGACCTGGAAGGCCTGGTGACTAGACTGCCAAACATACATGAAGGAGCAGGAAAATGGATTAGAACAAACAATGGGGAAGCTACTGGCGGTGGGAGACTTGAAGGCATTGCTGGCCAGGGTGGTGGGAGTGGCCAAAATGGAGGACATGGTCCTCTGTAGCTCAATTGGTAGAGCATGGCGCTTGTAACGCCAGGGTAGTGGGTTCGATCCCCGGGACCACCCATACGCAAAAATGTATGCACACATGACTAAGTCGCTTTGGATAAAAGCGTCTGCTAAATGGCATATTATTATTATTATGATGCTGATGAGTGGCCTTAGACGGACGGTGCGAAGTGTGGTGCTGGATGGAGTGACATTTGACAATTACAGGCCACTGCTATGGCAAACTGAGAACAGAGTAGCCAGCCAAAATAGACTCTAAAGCACTGAGAGGGGAACCATGGGGGGGATAAAGAGAACCCGGCAGGTTACCTGGACGACCAGCTGAAGAGGTGACGACAAGGACAAAAAGAAAACAAGCCCCAGTGATCACTCCGTCGCCGCCGCCAGAGGGCACCATGGCACCCAGGGAGGTCCACAACCGCCACCTCAACAGCAAGGCCAAAGAGCTCCTGCCGTTGCAGTAGTGAATGTGTACACACAACAATCCCCTGGACAGTGGCAAAACATAAAGAATGGAAACAGACCCAGGAATCAAGGGCACCGACCACAGCAGCAGACACACCAAAATAGAGGACCAAGAGGACCTCCAGGTGTCTGCTGGGGGTGCCATCAATCAGGACATACAAAAAGGGATTGTCCTACCAATCCATGGCTGCCTAGGCAACCACAACAGGGTAATTGGCAAAGAAATGACACCAGCTCAGATGCATGGCAGCAGTCTCACACACAGGCTCCACAGGGCCCAGTGAACCCATTGGGAGGACCAAATCAGGGATACTAGGGATGCCCAGGGAATCCTAAAGGGGAGGGTCAGCTAGTGGCAGTAACTATGCAGGCTGATGAAGAACCTATGCTGCAGGTTCAGGTGAATCATAGAGGCACACCAATGATGATAGATACTGGAGCAACTTACTCATGTGTAAATCCAAATTATGCCTCTCACCTCCCCATGTCAGGCAAATACGCAAAGACAGTAGGATCTTTGGGACAAAACGCAGCTAATACCTATGACAGTTCCAGTAAAACTAGAAGCAGGAGGGAAAGTTACCTGCATACCTATATTAGTATCAGAACAAACTCCAGTTAATCTATTAGGAAGAGATGCACTGTTATTGGCGTAAAAGATGAAGAAACTCATATTCCAAACATCACCATATTAGTAAAC